TTGTTAAAGATTTATTTGTGCATACAGAACTGGGGCACAGGCAAGAGGCTCAGGGGCAGTGAGAGGATTCACCAGAGACAGAGTTGGGAGCAGAACAGGCAGATCGATGAAGTACACTGCTGAGGGGAGCAGCGGGCGGGTCAGGAGAGGTCTGCCACGCCATGTGGTCACCTCCGGGGCAGGCGGGAATCGAACTCATGCGGAAGCGGCTTTAGATTCTCAGTGCTGTGCTTTAACCCGCTGCGCCACCAGGGAGGGCCAATTCATATTTTTGTAGGATGTTTTTCTGGCTTTGGTGCTGACATTTCTTCACGTCAGTGCTGGGATGAACTGAATACCAGTGAAGGGATACTTTGGGTGATGACATTGCAGCACCCTGAGGCTCCCATGACCACTGTCCCTGGAGCAAGTGTGGGCCCCGGGGGTGAAGCATAGGCACTGTACTGAGGAGTGGGTTTTGGGGAAGGAAGGCAGCTTTCTAGGAAGAGCGTTCCAATGGAAAAGCAGCAAGCACAGGAATACTTAGGAAAGGACCCTTTGCAGGGTAGGACAACAGGTCTGCTGTCGGGTAACACAGGGCCACGATTTTTATTTTTGATAGCGTAAGATTCCAGGAAAGATAGGTTGAGAAACCGAAATATGGAAAGATGGGATTGATTTTGAGATGTTCTATTGTAGGAATAATTATATTTTGGTTGGAGTCATGGATGGGAATTCTGGGGTTTGGGTCGACAGTGTGATTTTCAAATTCATCTTTAGAGCCTGTTAAGAGACAAACTGGAGGGCTTGTTAAAAGACAAATTGTGCCCTGGTGGCACAATGGGTTAGAGTGCCATGAAGCTGTCTGCAGCCACTGAGTGTGGCTATGTAGGTCAGCCAGGGAGCTGAGCCACATGGCGGAGACCTCTCCTGTCTCACCTGCTGCTCCCCTCTGCAGTGTACTTCAGTCAATCCACCTGTTCTATTTCCAGGACACCTGCCAAAGATTCTAGGTGCCCTGGCCCGTCCTGCTGCTGCTAGCTTGAGACTTTGAGAACCAGTGCCCTAAACGCCAGTTCAAGTGTTTCAGTTGCTACACTCACCACCCCACCCCCGTCCTGTGCCCCAGTTCTTGTATACATAAATAGATCTAAAAAAGAAACAAAACTGGAGGAGGGTCCAGCACATATGCAGGGGGTCTGCTATCCCAAGGTGTTGCATTTCTACCAAGTTTCCAGGTGAAACGGAAAATACTGTGTGCAGAGAACGTTTCTTGGCTGTTACTCCCAGGATTGGCCACTTGAGGGCAACAACTTCCTAATTTTCCCAGGTTTTACTTCCACTTAGGCCAAGGGCACTGGTCTTACGCTGTAGGCCCAGTCTTGGAGGGTGTCCAGGCACTAGTCTGCTGCTGCTCTGTGCAGCTGCAGAGGCCCTGGAAGACAAGAGCCAAACTGAGAGGTGAACTACCAATGAAGGACACACGTGGATGGCAAGTCATAACCTAGTGGCCATTCCTTAAATGCCTTCCTGGGCCCTTCTACTATTTGCTGCGTCACCTTCCCTCTTCTGCAGGTTGCAAGAACCCTTCAAAAGCTTATACTTGTTGTATTTTAAGAAAGAACTAGCCATTTTCTTACAAATTCTCCACAAAAATGGAAGTAATGTGAAAAAATTGCTGGAATGGGGGACAGGCAATGGTTAAGGTATCATTTCATCCATTTCACTGCACCTACTGAGCCGTTTCTATTCAATCCTGCAGGTACTTCTGCACCCTTTTCAAGTTGATTTGTTCTTTTTCTTTCATCCCACTCCCTTCATGCTTTCAACTCAACTTCATGCTATCAACCCAGTCTGATCCCAATCCTAAACCATCAGTTTCTCCCCTCACTGCTCCCAGACAGTAAACCCAACGTTGAAAAACAAATAATCACATGTTGGCCTAATACAAATTATTAACACTGACTCAACATTACTGCTGCCTGGCAAACTTCTCTTTTTTTAAAGATACTTATTTATGCTTACAGAACTGGGGTACAGGCCAGAGGTGTGGTGGGTGAGAGGATTCGCCAGAGACAGTGGGGAGCCAACAGGCAGATCTACTGAAATACATTGCTGAGGGGAGCAGCGGGCAGGTCAGGAGAGGTCTGCTGCACTGTACGGGTCAGCTCCCTCGCCGGGGATCGAACTTGTGCTGCAGTGACTTCGGAGAACTTCGCGATAAACTGCTTTAACCCATTGTGCCACCAGGCAGAACCCTTTTTTAAAACATTTTTTATGCATACAGAGCTGGGGTATAGGCGAGAGGTGCGGGGGTTGAGAAAATTCACCAATGACAGAGTGGGGAGCAGAAGAGGCAGATGTACTGAAATACACTGCTAAGGGGAGCAGCAGATGGGTCAGGTCTGCAGGGCATGTGGGTCAGCTCCCTGGCGTTTTAACCATTTTGGCGCCGTCATCCCTAGTCAGCCCCAGACGGGCTCCTGTGCCCTAGGGCTCACTGCACGGCCCTCTGGTCTGCACTGCAGGGGTGCCCAGGGCACTGCAGTCACACAGGCACTCCTGGAGCCGCCCTCTGCGGCCAGGTGACCGCCGGCAGCTCAGCGTCCTTTGAGTGGCATCCATTAGGAAGGTTCTAAAGAATCAATTCCATGGCATTCATATAAGATTTGTAGATACTGAAAGTTCAGGTATGGAAATGTTAATAAAATTCCATTTTTGCATACAGTACCATGCAAAAAATGTCCTTTTGTTGTTTTTCCATTTGTGTTCCTCTCATTTGCAAAGGGCATCCTTTTGTCCATATTCATACAGTATGTATTCTGAGGGAAGAATGAAATTTATACCACGGACAGAAGTTATTTTGGAGACCATGGAGTGAAATTAGTGATCAAAAACCTGAAAGGCAGAATTTGGGTATTCAAAGTGTAAGTAACACTCCTGTATATCATTCTTGTATAATCTACATATCACCCCATCTAGACTGGTGAACCAGTGAACAAGTGTAGAACGAAATATTACATAAAAGTTTTTTTAAAAAAAAGAGGGTCCTTCCTGGTGGCGCAATGGGTTGGGGCGCAGCACTGCAAGCTAGTTGCAGCTGTTTCAGTGCAAATTTGATCCCTAGCCCCGGAGGTGACCCACATGGAGCGGCAGACCTCTCCTGACCCACCCGCCGCTCCCCTCAGCAGTGTATTTCAATCTGCCTGTTCTGCTCCCCACTGTCTCTGGTGAATCCTCTCACTGCCCCTGCACTTCAGTTCTGTATGTGTAAATAAATCTTAAAAAATGAAAAAATAAAAATATGGGGCCCTCCCTGCTGGCACAGTGGGTGAAAAGCACAGCACTAAGAATCAAAAACCATTTCAGCATGAGTTCGATCCCCACCCCAGCGATGATCCACATGGCGCAGCAGACCTCTCCTGACCCGCCTGTTACTTCCCTCAGCAGTGTACTTTGTAGATCTGCCTGTTCTGCTCCCCGCTCTGTCTCTGGTGAGTCCTCTCACTGCCCCTGCACCTCTGGCCTGTACCCCGGTTCTGTATTCATAAGTAAATCTTTAAAAAAATTAAAAATTTAGGCCCTCCCTGGTGGCGCAGCGGGTTAAAGCACTGCACTAAGAAGCTTAAGCCACTTTCGCATGAGTTCGATCCCCGCCTGCCCCGGAGGTGACCACATGGCGTGGCAGACCTCTCCTGACCCGCCCACTGCTCCCCTCAGCAGTGTACTTCGTTGATCTGCCTGTTCTGCTCCCCACTCTGTCTCTGGTGAATCCTCTCACCCTCCACATCTCTGGCCTGTACCCCAGTTCTGTATGAATAAATAAATAAATCTTTAAAAAAAAAAAAAATTAAAAATTTAAATTACTCTACAGATAATTACATAGGTAAATTAATAACCTGTGCGGTTAAGTGCTTCTTGACACTTCTATTTTATAAATAAGGAAACAGGTGTCCAAGGCCACCTGATCCCCACTCTTCTATGACCTACCACTTGACTAAAGTGTGGAAATGACAGTGGACACTATACGGGGAGCTGGGCACACTGGACTCTGCCCCTCCAATCCCCAGATGTGCACTAGGCCTGTGTGCAACAATCTCCACACCAAGGCTTCACTTCTAGAATAAACCTTGTGCTTAAGGTCCGGTTCAATTTAGTCGCTTGGCCAGGAAACAGCATCCCAAAACTGGATGCCCAAACTCAAGTTCGAAACAAACAGCATCTTCTATTCCCCTCAGAACTGGATACATCTTGATCTCTTCCCAACTCCCCATCTAGGTCTTTCCATCTGCCCTTTCCTTTCCTGCTTCTCTCTGCTATCCTGGTGCAGCAATTAGTTACCTCAACTTCACAACAGACATTGAGGGGTTCACCCAGAGATTACCATATTCCACCTTGCCCTAAATTCACCAACACTCAACCCTTATATTTTGCTTTCTAAACCACAGAAATGGAACTTTCAAGAAAATGGCTACATCAATCACATTCTCTCATTAACTCCCAAATATTTCCTCTTCCTTCCAGAGTTCAGATCTGCTTTTTCTTTAGGTCCTGAAAATGGCGCTGCTCTCACTATTCAAATCATTTTTCAAGAGTCAACCTCAAGAGATCCTGCCAAATAATCAAATCTTGAATCAACTTTCCTTCTATGAGCATGTGGCAACATAGAATCTACAGCATCCCACGTGGCACTCACATCGCCCTCAACACTCAAACCCTCCTTTCTCCATCTTCTCTGGCTAGGCTATTCACCTAGGCAGACCTTGGCTTCTCCCGCCTTACCCACCCCTCGGTGCAGTAGGTGTCGGCTGAGAGGATCAGCACTGGCTTGACCAAGGGCAGAGCTTGAGCAGTGGCCTCGAGGACCCTCAATGGGGGGGTGGGTCACTTTCCCTTTTCCTTGTTTTTTTTGTCTGAGGGGCTGGGGCAAGGGAGAGAGGCTCCTCAAACAGCAGGTCAGAGCCATCTGCATTAGTGGGAAACGGGAGACTAAATGCTTCTAGAAAATGGAATACAGCAAATCAAGACTTTTCCAGCTTCCACAGATCTCCAGAGTGACGGGTGGCAGCAACTCCTTTATTTCCCGGTGGAGGAGATTCAGTTGAGCAGCACACCTTCCTGCCCCAAGTCCCCACCAGACACGAGACAACAGCACTAATCCTGGGTTAACGGCACAGGCCTCAGAGCTCTCCTGCAGCCCGGAGCTGTTTCAGCCAGCCAGCATTAAGCCCACCCGAAAGGCAGCACCCTCGAAGACTGGGGCAGCTGAGCCTGAAGTTTCAGCATGGACCAGGGGTGGGCTTCTGAGTGACAAGAGAGTCTCAAGACAAGTAGCCACATAAATGCGGCTAGATGGAACCCCACAATGATGAAGTTCGCCTCTGTGTGAACACAGGGATGTCAAGGGTAAGGCTAAGTCCCAGTTGTCTGAAGCAGCAAAAACACAACTCTTGCAGAGAAAAGGAAGCAAAGTGGAATCCGGGTCCCATCAGGACCACGCTGTGCCATCACATGTCCAGTTGCTGGGTCATCTGCAGACCAGGGCCAGGCTTCCGAGAGGAGAAAGGGAGACACAGGGACGTCGAGACCACACACGCTCATCTTTCAAGTGACTTCCAGAAGGAACGCTCACTCTCGGGGTCGGTTGACCATGACTTCACCCAGGGCCTCCAACACCTCCCGCTTGTAGTCCTCGAAGTCACCATCGATCTGGCTGACACTCTGCTCCTCCACCACCCAGAGCTGGCAGTTGGTTTCTGTGATGAGCCGGGCATCATGGCTGACAACGATCACAGCTTTGAGGAAAGAAGGGAGAGTGGAGGGCCTCAGAAAGCAGGAATAAGAACCTGGAGGGAGACCCAGCTGCAGAACGCTAGGACTCCTCGGCCCCTAAGAGTCGGAGGGGCAGCTGGGCTGACTTACCGCCCTTGTATTCGTTGATGGCCTCCCCCAGGGCATCAATGGACTCGATGTCCAGATTATTGGTGGGCTCGTCCTATGGAGAAGACATTCGATGAGGAATGGTGGCCCCACCTGTCACTGCTGTCAGCTTTCACCGCCCCAGCCCCAACGGTCCAGCTCCCTCACCAAGATGAGGACATCGGGCTCCCGACATGCGAGCTCTGCAAACACAACTCGGGCTTTCTGGCCACCTGTACCAAAGGGAGAGGAAGCGGATCCATCACACTGCCCTTGCTCCCCTCCACAACATTTGCTGTCCCCATTTCTGCAGGGAAACCCTGCCTGCCTGCTGAGCTCCCCCAGGCTGCCTGGGCCTGCTTCCTTCCTGCCCACTTAGTCTATAGACAGGAACATCAAGGAGGCAAAGGCTGCCAGCTCCCTATGATGCTACCAGAGAGTTTGCATATCTGGATGGTGTGGGCGTGACTCTCAAGGCCAAAGCGACCCAGGCACTTCCGGGCGTCCTGGTAGGGCAGGTTGAAGCCCCGCTGCAGGTACTCAGTGGGCGTCTCCTCCATGCGCAGCTGCTCTGCATACTGCTGGTTGAAGAAGCCGATTTTCTGCCCGAGAGAGAAGTGGTCAGTGAAGTCACACTGCCGCTATTGAAGGCTGACTCCCTGGCTCCCAGAGCAAACTTACCAGCCGGTGGTTCTTTCTCATTTCCCCACGAGTCTGCAGGGAAAGAGCAAATGGGAAGTCAGAGAAAGGGGGGGGATAGGTGCCACCACCCCAAATCCCTATGTTTCTGAAGCAGGAACAATGCCAGAACTGGGTTGAAATAAATCACTGCAAAAAAGGGACACAAGGTTCTCCACAATGTGAAAATAGCACACCCAGGAAGTCAGAAGAGTGTGGGGAAAAGGGGAAGTTAAAGAATAAATAATAAAGGTAGGGAGATAAAAAGCAGGCTCAGAAGTAGGATGGTGTGGACCAGAACTCTCCCTCCCTCTGACAAGGCCCTTTCCCAGCACATCTTCTGGCTTCCACCCAAGGTGTGAGTTAAGACAGTCTACTGTAAGAGAAGTAGGAACACTCCTGACCCCTCCGGCGTGGAGACAGGCCCTCTCAACACTGTCCTGTGGGAAGCATGCACAGACACAGCAACTGCAAAAGTCCTAGTAGTGGGCTTCCCTGGTGGCCTAGGGCTTAAATCTCAGCACTATCACTGCAAATGACCTGTTAGATCCCTGGCCAGAGAGTGACCCACATGGTGCAGCAGATTTCTCCAGTATCCCCACTGCTCCCCTCAGCAGTGTATTTCAGTGGATCTGCCTGTTCTGCTCCCCATTCTGACTCTGGTGAATCCTCTCACCCCTGTACCTCCGGCCTATACCCCAGTTCTTGTATGCATAAACAAAAAATACTAAAACCTTAAAAGCAACTCACCGATTGACCCATGCAATTCCAAATCATTCTATAATGAACAATTTCATGTGTGACCTAAACACACGGGTGTGGGGAGAATGTGGGTGTAGGGAGGGGAGGGCAGTTCAACGCAACTCTCTCCTCACTGAATGGAACTAGACTGCTCTCTTGGGGACGTGTCTCATCCTCAGTGGGTTTTGCAGGTGACTCTCCCGCAGAGGGGCTCCCTGACCCTCGTCCCTGGGAACAGCTGCATCCCTGCACCTCCTGGAGACCTCCTTCCCAGCTTCAGGACTCACCGGCGTCAGCTTGCCCGTCAGCAGCAGGAGCAGCGTGCTCTTCCCCACTCCATTAGGGCCCACGATGCAGACTGCACAGGAAGGGGGGTGTCAAAGAAGTCCCCCAACCAGCCCCAGGTCCCACGGGGACCTGGGGTAAAGGCAGAGCCAAGGATGCAAGGGAGCCACCCACAGCCACTCACTCCTTGAGTCCATGTCGATGCCAAAATCCAGGTTCTTAAAGAGTGCTTTCTGCCCCTCATAGCCAAATGTCACACCTGCGAGGCAGGAAAAGCAGCAATTAGCTTTCAGCCCCCCAGTGGGTAGAGAACTCGAGGTGCTGCTGGGGTCTGCAGGTGCTCACCATGCAGGCCCAGCACAGGAGGGCTGAGTGGCGGGGGGTTGGGGAAAGTGAAGCGCACAGTATACTCCTTGGGGCGCTTTAGGAGTTCGGGGGCCTCCTGTGACTCTTCATCTTGGTTTTTTCGTCGGCATCTCTGCTGCTTTCTAGTTAGTGCTTCCTTCGTTTGTTTTTCCTGGAAGGGGAAAGGGAAAAGCACCCTCACTATTCACAGCAGTCATTGAAAGGTAGGGTGGTGTCCCCAAGGGTTCCCCCAGTTCCCCTGAGAGAAGAGCCTCCCCCAGGAAGACCCCCAGGTACGTACCGCCTGTTTTGTGGATTTGCCACCCGCCTTTAGTTCCTTTAGCTTTTTCTCCTGCTTCTCATACTGCTTCAGTAGTTCTTTCTGCTTCTGCTGGTACATCTTCTTGAAGGTCACTAGGGCAGGAAAGAGGGAGAGGCTTCCCGGGTTACCCTCTTGCAGAGGGACCACCTGAGAAGGTGCCAGAGGAAAGGGCGGTGTGACCACCGAGTCCTGAGAGCTGTGCTTACTGCCACACGCACTGGGCCGCGCCCAGGCCCTTGCCAAGGGCCATCACCTCCCTCCACCCACAGCAACCTACTTACTGTAGTTGCCCCTGTAGTAATGGAGCCGCTGGGCATCGAGGTGGATGATATCGGTGCAGACGTCATCCAGGAAGCCCTGGTCGTGGGAGACGATGAGCAAGGTCTTCCGCCAGCCCTGGAGGTAGCTGGGTTGAGAAGAATGTGAAACGTCAGTGGGCAAGCTAGGCTTAGCTGAGGGGAAGCAGACGACAACGGGCAGGGGAGAGTGGCCCGGGAGCTGAGCAGACAGCAAAGGCAACAAGGGCAGCACGTGGACCAGCGGCTAGAGCCTATCAAGCGCAACTCACTTATTGAGCCAGATGACAGCGTTGAGGTCCAGGTGGTTCGTGGGCTCGTCCAACATCAACAGTGTGGGCTCCATGAACAACGCCCTGGGGGGGGGTGCAAGTGTCAGGGAGAAGATCTTGGCTCAGAAAGCCCGAGAGCCTGCAGCAGGTGCCGCCTAAGACCATAAAGTCTCCTTCCCAATCTCAGAGTTCTATGCAGAAGATACGCAGGGAGACCACCTCGCGTCTGACAATGCAAACTGGAAGGGAGACATTAGCCCTGACCCTCCCGTGAGCCTGGGGACAATGGTTGGAGGGAAAGGGCCTTGGTGGGCTCAGGTGGAGGGTGGTGAGGTTGGCAGCCCACCTGGCCAGGGAGACACGCATGCGCCAGCCCCCCGAGAACTTCTGTGTGGGCCGATTCTGCATTTCCGGGTCAAAACCCAGACCGGCCAGGATGCGCCGGGCTTTGGCCTCTGCAGCAGCTGCTCCCGTAGCCCGCAATTCCTCATACACCTGGGAGGAGAGAGAAGAGGACACATGTCCGAAAGCCCTAGGAACCCCCAAGTCTTAGCGCGTGTCCCCTGCGCCATCTCCTCTACCTTCTCCAGTCTCTCGGCAGCTGTGTCATCCCCCTGCTCCAGCTGCCCCTGAAGCCGACGCTCCTCTTCCAGCAGCTTCAACCGCTTGGTGTCAGCGCGAAGAACAGCCTGTACCGCAGGCGTCTCATCTGCAACCACCTCTGAGGGGCAGAGGGAAGAGTCAGGGCTCCCCCCACCCCCCCAGGCCAAGGCTGCTACGGCTCTCTTCCCTTAAAGTTCCATTTCTGGCAGCCTAGCCCCCGCCCTGATTGTGCTTCTTCCAGACACCACATCCCCCGTCCCTCATTTCCCTCCCCCTTTTCCTTTAGCACCTGTGCTCCGGTCCAACTGCCCAGCCCTCAAGCCCCTCCATGGCCTCACCCTGCTCACACAGCAGCACATCGATGTTGGGAGGGATACTCAAGGCCCGGTTGGCGATGTGTTTGAGGAGCGTGGTCTTGCCCTTGCTGGGGAACGAGCGCCATCAGGGCCAGGTCACCACTGAGCAATCTCCCAGGCCCCCCCAATCCCCCTCCAGCCGCTCCTGTCCTCACCCATTGGGGCCCACCAGCCCGTAGCGGCGGCCTGCCACAATGTACAGGTCTGCGTTGACGAACAGCTCCTTGCCGTGGGCAGAGATGCTGAATTTCTCCAGCTGCAAGGATGAAGGGGCACAGGGAGGTGGGGGTGCTGAGAATTCTCCCTTTCGGACAATAGTTGCAGCTTCTGCAGAGAAGCCTCTGACAAACCCCACTTCTGGCACTCCCCCTTTCCTCTCACCACAGTTCCCTGTGATGGGAGCCCCCCAAACCCTAGAGCAGCACACCGTACTTTCTGCCACATGTGGGCCTCTACTTCTGTCTTTTCACTCAAGTTGGCAGATCCTGGGGTGTGGAAAACACCTCCTGGCTTTCTTGCCAGGGGCCGGAACGACTCACACCCTGCTTCCTGGGTTGCACTGGCCACCCCAGGACAGGCGAGAACTGGCACTTCCCTGGGTGAAGTGGCTGGAGAGCACCCCTCCCCACACCTTACCTTGATGTCAGATGCATTCTCCAACATGGCTTGGCGGGAGGACATCTCTGCTTGCGACACGGAGAAATCATTCTCCGCAGCATTAGCTGCTTTTAATGAAGCCACCTGACGCTCATACTCTATCTAAGAACGAAAGTCATGCTCTAGGTCAATCAGCCTGGGTCCCGTCACCACAGGACAGTCCCATGTCACCAAACACCGAAACACAATTCTTTCCTCCCTCAATTTACTTGCAACAGGCCCCAAAGTTCTCCCTCCTGTCGTCCAATCCACACATACTCTCCTGGAAGCAGGACCAAGTAAATCTCCCAACCCTGACCACCACCAACCCAAAGGCTTACCTGTTTCTTCCGCTTTTTCTTCTCCTTTTTACTAAGGCGAGCATAGGGATCGTCAGCCTTACTCTCCCCCTCTTCCTCCTCCTCCTCTCCTTCTTCCTCTGAACCCTGCAAGAACCAGATGATTAAAAAATGAGGGTTCCCTTTCAAAATGCCCATTTCACGTCACCCACTGACAGTTTCAGTCGGCTCTTTCCTTCCCCACCCAGAATGTGAGCTATCTCGGTGTCCTCCTCATTCCCACCCCACCCCCAATCTCCACGCAGCCCCCATCTCTGCCATCGGGGTGGCACAAGGCGGATAGCATGGGGGTGTGTGTCTACAAATGGAACCGCCAACACAGTGAGTGAGGGGTAAATGGAAAGGGTCTTCTCAAACGTCAAGTGAGTTTTTAGCTTCACAATTTACATGCAAAGAAAAAGATCTAGGATGCAGCCAGAGAAAATTCCAATAGATCACAGAATTGAAAGTGGTGTGACCACAGATCACTAGACTCTCCCACATCACACGGGTGAGATAACTGAGCCCCAAGGAGGGCAGGAGGTGCTCACAGCTGCAGCCAGGGAGGGCCAGTCAGAATGCAGAGCATCTGAGGCCAGCACAGCGTCCCTTCCTCTCCAACCAGGACAGAATGACAGCCCTTGGGCCAAATCTGACCTGACACCTCTTTTCATAGTCTGGGAATTAACAGTTGTCATATTTTCGGACTTGCTTAAAAAAAAAAAAAAAAGCAGCAGCAGAGACTGTATGTGCTCCACAAAACCAAACTCAGTTACCAACTCCTGCTGTGGCTAGAAGAGCAGCCCCAGACCCTGGCCCCAACAAGGGGCACAGAGCCCCAGTGTCTCCAGCCACAACACACACCTGCTCTGCTTTCTTAGCTTTCTCCTTTCCTTGTTTGGGTGGCTCCTTTTCTTTGGTTATTTCTTCTTCTTCTTCTTCCTCTTCTTCATTGTCCAGAGCAGCAAATTTATTTTGAGGCTAACAGGGAAAAGACAGCAGGCCTCATGAAACTGTGATCCCTGAGACCCAGCACCGCCTCTTGCCCAGACTCACTCACCTTTACCTTCCCCTTAGACTTCTCTTCCTTCCCCTTTTTGCCCTTGAGTCCTGGTTGTTGTTCTTCAGACACAGCCTGGGGGAAACACAAGAATCAATTTGGGACTCTCAGGCTTAGCAAACACATCAAGGGAGTGTAGGAGGTAACTATCCTACACTAGAGAAAAAATGAAATGCAGAAGACCTCAGCCTCCAGCCAGAGACTGGACTGTACACAGCTTAACTGGAGAAGATCAAGCAGAGCCGGGGACTGGGAGACGGGGAAATGAGCCATGTGGCTCACGGCTGAGCTCTGCAGGGCTTCCTCGTGCAGGTGAATCTTGGGAAGAGGTAACAAATGGGGACTTAGAGAGGGAAGACACAACATACAGAACAAAGGCTTCACATAGTCAGGCTGGAAGCCAAAGCACATTCAGAATAATCTCACATTGGCTCACAGCAGGGTCCCAGTGAAAAATAAAGACTGAAGGGTTCTTTCAATTTTGAGTTTAGAAACAACAGAATCACTGTAGATTTACAAGTGATCAAAAAAAACCTATTTTACAAAGTTTATCTTGCCATCACAAGCAAGTGTGGTGCAGAATGGCTAGTTGAAAAGCAGGAAAAAGAGCCAGGAAATGACCACACCAAGGCCAGAGGTGTCATGTGGCAGTGGTGACTGGCAGAGCCAAGGTTTTCACCTTATTGATCCGATTCTTCTCTAGTTTGGCAGGTTTGGGAGGATGTTTTTCTTCTTCCTCTTCCTCACTCTGATCCTGAATCAGGGCTGCAAAAACATTCCCACCCTGGAGAATGAAGAGGTCAAAGAAATCAGTGGAAGGTCCAGGTCACATCCAGGGATCTCTGTCTCCCACATAGCCGGCTCACCTTGCTCTTCTTCCCTCCGCGGGGTACCGGAGCAGATACTGAAATGACAGAGGGAGAAGATGCGGTAGGAAAGAGAGTTCTGATGTCTGGCTTGTCCCTCTAATCCAACTCAAAGAGCAAGAGTGAAGCCCCACACACTTCACAATGAGGGACTTCAGGTGCCCTGTGCCCTCAGTGGTTTACCCTCATCCTCCTCATCACTGGCTGGCACCGAGAGCTTCTTAAGGCGCTCCATGAGCTCTTTCTCTTCTCCATCATCATCCACATCCTTCTTCCGCCGGCCTTTCCGGCTATCTCGTTTTTTTTTTTGCTGTTAAAAGAAACAGAGATGAAGCCCAGGCTGCTCCTGCACCCCTCACCCATCAGCTGAGGTGAGCCCAGTGCGCTGGAGACGGACTAGTGCGCCCGCCACTGTACCTGCTGCTGCTGCTGCTGCTCCTTCTCCTTGAGCACTTTCTCTTCTTTCTCCGCCTGCTTATCTTCTACTGCCAGCTCCTCAAAGAACTATAAAGGAGTCAAGATACAGACTCAGAGTCCACTCAAGCCCTTCTGTGCACACACTGGCCCACTGGCATGCCTTCCACCCTCGCCCTGCTTCCTTTCTTCCCTCAGACCACTCCCCCCACACACACACGGTCATATTTTGCTTAAAGTCATTTCTCATCTCTAACTCTCATTTCCTCACCGTTTTTTTGGTCTTCTTGTCCTTCTTTCCTTTTTTCACCACTCTGTCTAGAAGGTTAAGGATACAATGTGAATGTTTATATGTAAATTTCAAAGCAGCCTGATCTCCCCTGCAAAGTTTTCGGTGGCTTTCATCCCATTTTATTTCACTATTTTCCTAGCTTCACTATCACTGCTTGAAACTATGTTCTGTCCTATAAGACAGAGCTTAGCCTAAGGTGGCAGTGCAGAGAAACAGAGTTCACAGAATAAAGGTAGAGGTAGGGAGTAGGGCAGCTTATTCAGAGATAACATCTATGTTTTCAGCTAATAAAATCAGTTGGGCTCACAAGGGACTATGGTGGTGGTGCACGGGTGAATTGGTGGTGGGAACTTCATGGGGAAATCATACACTGTGCAAAAACAAAGGATTATGTAATGAATATACTTAAAAATTTAGTTGGGCTAGTGGTGCCATTTACTAACTTGATATGATATTCTAGAAGAAAAGGTTCCCTCCCCTCACCCCTACCACCCATGGAGGTAAAGGTAAGGTGTACATATGAATTCAGTTTGGGAAGTGTCACTTATGAAACCTGCAGGCCACGTAAAAGAGCTGTCTTGATAAGTAAATGAACATCTGCTCGCAGAGTTCTGGCACAAACCACACTACTCTATATTTAACTGCATCAGCCTTTACCCTAGAGAACGTCCTGGGAGACTGCTTAGCTTGTGTTCCCAGAGCGCAATGTGGGAAGTCACTGAAAGGCTAGCAACTGAACAAGTTCCAGCTTCTCCCTGCTGTCATCCTTGTCTCCCTGAAGGCGGGGACTATGTCCATCTCCCTGTCTTCCCTCTTGCCCCAGCAGTCTGGGGAGCACCCAGTAGCCTCACGATTTTGTCTTGTCCTTCTCTTTGCACATTCTCTGCCATTCACCCACTGCAAATGCTACCCAGAAGCACTCCTGTGTCGTTCAGGTTTAAAACAATGGCCTTTGCCATCTACCACATTAAGTATTAACAAACCAAGATTCCACACAACGCACTTATCTGGCAAGTTTTACTGAGCATCTACTATGCCAAAAACTAGAGCTAAATATGGGTAATTCCTATAATTTAGTACTTCACAGACCATAAAGACCCTATCATAACTTTCCTGCTCTATTTCCCCACCCACACTTGTGTTCTAAACACTGGCTTGTTCTTTTTTCTTGATTAAGCCTCAAGAGGCTTTACCTGTCTCTGCTTGACCTGTGCCCAGCTCCCAGGACATGTGCCAAAACCTGGTCCCCAGACTGAGTGACCAGTGTGGTGGCGCTGAAACATATACAGGAGAAATAATGAGAAGTTCTATGTGCTATTCCAAAGAGTCTACTCCTAAACACACTAAAGGGGACCGACTGCAGCACATAGGGAGAGGGGAGAACATCACCTCACCCAGCACTGGGGAGACTCAGTCCAAACAACCATGCCAACTCTCTTCCTTTTAACTCTCTTCTGTACTTTAAACATCTCGCTGATCCTTACTGTAAGGAGAGGAAAAGATGGTGCACAAATCTAACTGTGAAAAAAAAGTGTAATCACCAAGGAACAGAAAAAGGCTAAGTGTGGCTGAAGTCAACCTGCACCCATTTCTCCTCCTCTCAGGGCTCCTCCCCTTTAGCTCATCACCAAAGCGGCTGCCACCAGAGCCCTATTCTCTCCTCCCCCAGTTATGATCTATTCTTGCCTTCATGAAGCTCCAAAGCACTAGTCCACTTCTGCGTTTGGTATTCCCTTTTGAACATGCTACAATCTGAGCTGGACACGTATTCAAATGAATACTTTCACTGAAATTACAGGTGATTCCTTAGTGGTTCAAGCCCAAAGCCTTCCTTAATTAGTTTGTGACTTCACTACAACATCCCACGCTACCTGTCTTTTTTAAAGATTTATTTATTTATACAGACAAGACCCAGGGTTCAGCCCAGAGGTGTGGGGGTGGGAGGGGCAGGTGGCAGTGGTGAGAGGATTCACCAGAAGCAGGAACAGGCGGTTCTACTGAAATATACTGCCAAGAGGAGCAGCGGGTGAGAAGGAGAGGTCTGCCATGCCGTGAGGGTTACCTCCTGGCTGGGGATTGAACTTGTGCTGCAGTGGCTGTGGATAGCTTTAACCCCTTGCACTACCAGGGAGGCCTCCAAGTAGCTTTTGATTATTTTTTTAAAAAGATTTATTTATTTATGCATACAGAACTGGGGTACACGTCATAGGTGCAGGGGCGGTGAGAGGATTCATCAGAGGCAGAGTGGGGAGCAAAATAGGCCGACTGACGAAATACACTGCTGAGGGGAGCAGCGGGTGGGTCAGGAGGGGTCTACTGCACCATGTGGATCACGTCCCGGGTGGGGATCGAACTCATGCTGAATTGGCTTTAGCTTCTTAGTGCTGCGCTTTAATCCGCTGCACCACCAGGGAGGACCCTAACTTTTGATTCTTTTACTTCTCTCCTACCACCTCTGACTCCAGGGACCCTGCTGCTCTAGCTGCAGTCTATCTTTTTCAGTCTCACCCCGTCAGCCTCCTTCACAATATCAATCCCTGAATTGCTGACGTTTTTCAGGTTCCTACATTCTACCCACTTTTTGTTCCATTCTGCTCCCGTCCTCCCCTGGGACTCTGCCACATACAAACTTCAGCTACACTGGCTTGTGTCTTTACTCCTAGGCTAGATCTTCCTCCACAGTCACTAAACAAGCTCTCTCTTGGCCATCTCCTAGACGTTTCCCAGGAAACGCCAACTCAGCATTCAAAAAACCGGATCTTTCCATCATGCAGCCTATTACTGCTTTCAATGAATAGTCTACCATTCACTGAGCTACTTCGGGTCATCCTTAATTCTCCGTCACTGAGCCAGTCCCCAGTTGTCCATGCTACCACCTTAGTAACTCTTAGTCTTCACTGCCGTGGCCTATTTTCTTATTATTTGTCACCAGGAATCATTGCCAGAACTTCTGATATGGTCTCCCTTCCTTCACTTTTTTTTTTAAAGATATATTTATGTATGTATACAGAACAGGCCAGAGGTGCAGGGGCTGCGAGGATTCACCAGAAACAGAGTGGGGAACGGAACAGGCAGATGTACTGAAATACACTGCTGAGGGGAGCGGCAGGTGAGACAGGAGAGGGCTGCTGCACCATGTGCATCAGTTCCCAGGCTGGCTGGGGATCAACTCTGTTGCAGTGGCTGGAGATTGCTTGATAGTGCTGCCTTCAACCCCTGCGCCACCAGGGAGGCCCTTCCTTTTTCTCAACTAAAGCTATTCTGTACCATCAGAGTGAGGTGATCTGATCATTCCTCACACACTTCACCACAGGCACTTACATCATCCTTACACACTTCAGTGGGTCCTCCTTCTAAGGTCTGTAAGATTAAACTTGTCAGACGGACATATCATTATCTGTCTGTTGCACATCTTTCCAACCCTATCACACTGTACTGGGAAACAGTCACTCAATACTTGAACCTGCCAGGCTCAGCAACAGCTCTACCTTAACACAGACTTCTCCCTCTTACCATTCAAGAATGAATTCATCTATCACTTATTCCTGAAAGGTTTTACAGGAACTCCTCCCCCACCTGTCTCAGTGAATGCCTCTCCTCACTCCTCCAGTGCCACAGCATTCTCAAACACGTGTCTGATTATTGTTTTGTCCCCTCCATTACAGGTGGGGTACCCTACAGGACAAGGCCTAGCTTTTATCACTACAGTTCCAGTTCCTGTACACAGTACCTGGTATACAGTAGGCATCCAGTAAATGCTTGTACAGCCAGTCTCTGTGTACCTCCTGTAATAATCTGTATTCACTTAGTCTCCCTAGAAGTACTGAAGCCTGGGAGGATGTGTTCATCTTTCCCCCTCCCCTCTTCCCAAAGCAGTTTACTGGTGCTTAACTAAAACTGAAACTTAACATCACTCGCTGCTTTTCAGTAACCTTAAGCCCATTGCAACACCCCGCAGCTACACGCTCGCTCCAGCTGAGTCAGAAGGGAAGGGCGGCTCATGCAGAGCTCCAGTGGGAGTCGTCACCTGAGCAGCGGATGAAAACACGGCCCCCGAGAAGGTGCCGGCGCGCGCACCGCGGGCTGGGGAGGACGCGAGACGCAGCCTGCACATTCCTGAGGGCCGGGAAATACTGCGCGTGGTAGGGCAAGATGTCCAAAAGCGCTAGGAGGCCCTTCTCATTCTCTCCAGCTCTCCCTCGGTGCCATATGCTCCTCCTCATCTCCCGCCCGGTACCACTCGAGCTGGCGCACCACCCCGGCACCTGGTCCAGCCCCCGCCCGAAACCCACTCCAGCCGGGGCAAACGCCTCCCGGGCCCACTGCACGCATGCGCGGCAGCCCCCTCAGGGCCTGGGCAGCCTCGCGCCCCGTGACCCCCTCCTCAGGCCAGTGCCCTCTCCTGTCCCTTCTTCTTTCCCTCCCTCCGTGCCCACCGGCCTCACCTGTGGGGCTCGTGCTCTCCCCGTCCCCGATCCACTCGGGCTCTGGCGGCTGTTGCTTAGGTCCCTTCGGCATCGCGGTGGCAGTTGCGGCTACTCTGGCGGCGCCAGTTCTATTTCCGCTTCCGGCAGCGTGGGGCCCGGAACAGGTTGTCTCTGGACGCTGGCGAGGTCAGTCCCGCCCCCCAGCGGCGCACGTGCTCGTGTAACGTCATCACGGGGGCGGGCCCGAGTACGGGAGAGGAGGGGAGGAGTTTGCAATGAGGAGCGGAGCCTGCGTCCACTTGCTCGGGTAGCCTTAGCACAGCGTTTATGACGGCTGGGAAAGCCTGACCCCGTGACTGCGCAGCGCCGCATAATTAAAGAATAAACGTAATATTTGGGCTAGGGTGGACTGGAGGCAATCGCCCACCTTAAAAAAAAAAAAGTAGACACTATATTCTACCAACCCTTACGTGTGGTTAGAGGCAGAAAGGCGCTGTCCATAGACTCGGGAAAAGCCTTTATTGGTTTAATGTTACGATGTCACAAAATCCTTACGGTTACAGTTGTAAATAGGAATTCTACCCGAACAAGCAGAAATCATGATGCAGTGGAATTTGCTTTCCCCCCACCTTTTAAAACAGCCTTACTAAAGTAAAAGTGATGCAAAATAAACCACATACAGTGTGTGCACTTTGATTACATTTTGACATACACCCATCAAACCATCATCACAGGATTTGATTGATTCACTCCCAACTCTACCATTTAATAAGTGTGGGAGCAAGGTGCTCCCAGTCATGTTAGCTCCCATTCTCTTCTTAAACCCATAGAGTCATGCTCTTCTCCCCGATGCTGTTTGAATCCAGTCTTGCCATGATTAACAGACCGACCAACTCTTGGTCCTTATCCTACCCACGCTCCCAACATCTCTTGATACAGACGTTCATTCCCTCTTTTGCTTCAGGGACTCTGTTCTGTTCCATTCCATCTCATTGGGTGTTCTCCTTTCCTGGACTTGGATCTCATCTTTTAACATTCTTCTTTATCTAGACTTACTATTTATGACTCGTAACTTTAAGTACCATCCATACTGATGGAAATCTCCATATGTGTCTTGTTAGTTCCAACTTCTGCCTTAAGTTCCAGGTTCATGAATACAACTATTTACTTAAGTTCTTGAAGATCGCTAATAAAATCTCAAATTAAGATGAACAAAAGTGAGCTTTGTTTTTACTCAATACCATGTCTCTTTCAGGTTCCCATGATTCATCATTACTTGGGCCAAAATTGAATGATCATCCCCTTCTTGTCATTCCCCCTCTTCATCCGCAAGCTATTCTGTTTCATTCACTCACTCAATGAATGAGTGCCAGGCATTCAAGAGTGCTAGGCATTCTTGGGATGTCACTGAATAAAATAAAGAAATCTGCTTACATTTCTAGTTTGGGAGATAATGTTATGGAAGAATTAATATAGAATAAGGCAAAAAGTATCAGCTGTAGGTCCTCCCTGGTGGTGCAAGGGATTAGTCTCATTGCTATCAAGCTATTACAGCCACTACAGCATAAGTTACATCCCTGGCCAGGGAGCTGACCCACAAGGTGTAGCAGACCTCCTATGTCATCCCACTGCTCCCCTCAGCAGTGTATTTCCATAGACCTGACTGTTCTACTCCCCACTTTGTCTCTGAAGAATCCTCATATCTTCCACACCTCTGGCTTGCACACAGTTCTTGGATACATCAATAAATAAAAAATATAAGATTTGGGGGCCTCCTTGAGGTTAAAGCACAGCTATTACAGCCACTGCAGCACAAGTTCGATCCCTGGCCAGGGGAGTGACCCCCATGGTGTGACAGATCTCTCCTGACCCGCTGCTCCCCTCAGCAGTGTATTTCAGTATATCTGCCTGTTCTGCTCCCTACTCTATCTCTGGTGAATACTCTCACCTTCCTACACCTCTGGCCTGTACTCCAGTTCTGTATGCATAAATGAAAAAATCTTTTTTTAAAAGTAAGATTAAAAAATGTATCAGCAAAGTTAGCAGGTTGTAATAAACAGAATGTTTGTGAGGCCTCAGTGAGGCAAAATTCAAGTAATTCATTGAAGGTGGAATTTGGCTTCACAGAATTTCCAGAAGAGCCTTAGCATAAGAATACTTAAGAGCAATCCCCTGGAGCAAGATTGTACTTGGCACATATGATGAACAGACAGCTAGGAGCTCAGTGGGGTTGGAGTGGCATGAGTGAGCAAGAGGCTGTCTTGTGGACAGAGAACACAGTAGGGTCTGTAGTAGGGAGGGCCTTTCAGGACATCTGAAGGATCTGGCATCTACTCTTCACACAATGGAAGCACTAAAAGAAGTGACATAAATGTGAAGAAGCATGACTCTGGGGGCTGTGCTGAGCAGCTGGCACAGGGCAGGGAGGAACGGCAGACCAGAGAGACCTGTGAGGTCATGGTGACTCACACCAGGCTGGTATTAGAGGTGGCAAAGGGCTGGTTTCTGGACAAAAGAACCAGCAGGTTTTATTAGTGATTCAATTTCACATATGATACAAGAAATACAGGGTGATGCCAATGTAACCCAGACTGAGCAGAGCAACTAGAAAGGCGGAGTTGCCATCTCATCAAAAGTGAGATTTGAAAACACCCAACTCTGCTTACTTCTCTCCACCTCTACTTTGGACCAGGCCACATCTCTTTCTCTGGAGACACCAAAGTGGCCTCCTAGCTTGTTTGTTTCCCTGCTGTCACTCTCATTCCCTGGTCTACCCTTCATATCGACAGTCAGTAGTGAGTTTTGAACCTAATTAATTGCTCAAAATACTTAGAGTAAAATCCAAATGCTTTGCTTTGGCTTACAGGACTCTTCATGACCATGCCGCTGCCAAACTTCCTGATCATGAGGTCCCAGAGTTGAACTGCACTGGCTTCTATTTTACTTTATGTATCTCAAATTCATTTGTCTCAGGGCCTATGCTGTGGCTGTTCCTAGGTCTGGAATGCACTTCCTCAGATAATCATGTGGTTGGTTGCTTTCTCATTTCATTTGTCCTGCTACCTCCTCAAAGGAGCCCTATCAATTGTGGTATTGTTCTCTTCCACTTGTCACCCCCAACCCCTCCTTCACTCAGCTTTTCTTCAAAGTGCTTTTTAAGATTTCATTACACATACTTGTCACTAGAACATAAGTACATAGGGAGGGATTTTGTCTTTTTCATTGAAATGTGCCCAGTCCCTAATGTGGCCAGTCCCTGGCCCAGAGTAGGCCCTCAGGTATTCTTTAAATGAATGTGAAGTTGAACTAAGACAATGCACGTAAAGCATGGCACCAGGCACAGAGTGAGCTCCCAGAACATGCCACACCCAGGTCTCTCCCTGCCTCTCTAGTCATCCCTCCTCACTCCTCTAGGAGGCTTATCCTTGTCTGTCTTCACGTGGACATGAAATGTCAGAGCTCCTCAAAGCTAAGTCCAAGGGGCCCTCTCTGGTGGCCTAGGGCTTAAGTCTCAGCACTATTATCCCTGAAGCTTAAGTTGGATCCCTGGTCAGGGAGTTGACCCACACAGTGCAGCAGACCTCTCCTGTCTCACCCACTGCTCCCCTCAGCAGTGTATCTGTATCTGCCTATTCAGTAGATCTGTCTCTGGTGAATCCTCTCAGCCCCCATATCTCTGGCCTACATCCCACTCCTATGCAAAAAAAAAAAAAAAAAAAGAGCTAAGTCCTGGCGTCCTGGCCCCTCTCCTCATTTGACACTCTCCTCTCTCAGGTAAGAAGGGAGGCTCCTCCAAGGGCCTCAAATCTCCACATCCTGAGCAATTCCCTAACTATTACTCTCTACATAGTACCTCCTTTCTTCATTTTGTATCATTAATCACAACCTATACTTGTTTGCTCACTAATAAGAAAAAGTGCCTGATAACTAGGGACTGACCTGACCTACAGCTAGGCCATAATCTCCAGTGTCAGACAAGGTCCTTCGGTGGTGATATAGGTCAAAGTTCATAACCATGTATAAGCACAGACAAAAACAAGGTCATTCGGTAAACCTTAAATACTAAATAGTCCCTTCTCTGCTAAAATGAGTAAGGCTGCTTTCTTAACCAGTTACAGCATTAGCTATGTTTCATTCCCCTTCCTTCTAATTGAGATTTACTAACACATGTGATCATAGAACTGTCCTCATTCCTGACGATACCCAACCCAGAATGATTTGCTTCTTGGAATCTTCCCTAAATAACCTAAGACAGACCCCAATCTTGTAACTTATTGCCTATCTCTTTAAAAAAAATTATTTATTTATGCATATAAGAGCTGGGGTACAGGCCAGAGGTGTGGGAGGGTGAGAAGATTCACCAGAGAGAGTGGGGAACAGAACAGGCAGATCCACTGAAATACATTGCTGAGGAGAGCGGCAGTTGCGTCAGGAGAGGTCTGCTGTGCCCATGTTGGTCAGCTCCCTGGCCAGGGATAGAAATTGTGCTGCAGTGTCCGTGGGCAACTTCACAATGCTTCGTTTTAACCTGTTTCGCTACCAGGGAGAGCCCTCTGCCCTAACATTTTCATCTGCTAAAGTCCAATATTTTACTTAGCTCATGGCTGTGTGAATACTTTCTGAACTTCACTCCCAGGACTAAGTTTGGCCTGTGGCATGTAAATAGAAGACCTGTGTTGGCTTCAGGGAAATTCCCTGCCAAGTGGCTGGTGTCCTTTGCTCTTCTTCCTCCTAAGTTTGGAGTACAGATGCAAGTTTGAATTTTCACTTTGGACTGTGAGTGGGCGGGATAGACATCAAGAATGGTGGAGCTGAACGCTGAGGGTAAGAGGGCTCCCGAACATCTGAGGACATTGTGGTGCCGTGATTGTTTTGTCTTTTTTTTTTGTTTTAAAATATGTATTTATTTATGTGTAGAAGAACTGGAGTAGAGTGTAGGCCAGAGGTGTGTGAGGGGGGTAAGAGGATTCACCAGAGACAGAGTGGACAGCAGAAAGGTGGATTGAATAAAATGCATTGCTGAGGGCAGCAGCTGGTGAGACAGGAAAGGTCTGCTGGGTCATGTGGGTCAGTTCGCTGGCCAGGGATTGAACTCATGCAGTGGCTGTTGATAGCTTAATAGTGCTGTCTTTAACCCTTGCACCACCAGGGAAGCCTCCTATCTTGCTTTAAAACTAATTTTGGTTTCTGTTACAACTTCTGAACTTAAATCTCTTATACTGGACCATAGTCAGGGCCCACTATGTAAAGTGACTAAAGCTGTCTATGCTCAGGGTTTTCACTACCATCAACGTAAAGAAAACAGATTTCTATCTCCAGTTTTAATCTGATTACCAAATTTATACATTAGATTTCACCTTTTTATCTCACTGTATGAAATAGTAGGCGTGTGGATATATTGCATATATTGTATACTCTGCCCCTAGCTCCTGTCACAGAGCTCCTTAAATCCTTTGTAAATTACTAAGAGGTGAAAACATTACAAACATCTTTTATTCTGTTGCAGTGATTCTGGGTGGATTCCTAAATGGGGACTGGTAACCTGAATAGGGACTGGTGGCATAATGGGTTAAAGTGCAGCACTGTGGAGCTATCAGCAGCCACTGCAGCATGAGTTTGATCCCTAGCCAGGCACAGCCAAGACTTGTCTTGGCCCCTGCTCCCCTCAGTAGTGTATCAATCTGCCTGTTCTGCTCCCCACTGTCTTTGGTGAATCCTCTCACCCCCTGGACCTATGGCCTGTACCTCAGTTCCTATATGCATAACTATTTTTTTTTTTTAAAATAAATGGCACTTAAAGAGGTGTTAGGCAAAATTCCTCCCTGAAAAATCCTAAAACACTCTCACTTGATCCCTTATTTCCAATGCCTTTTCTCCAATCCCATGTCTCTAGGGCATGTCACCATGGCTGAACCTTCTAGTCTTAAGGTTTAAGCCTGGTCAGCTCCAGAGCTGGTTTCAAAAAAACCAACCTACCTCTGATGCTTCTCGGACTAAAGTGCTTCAAAGGGCCTCTCTGGTGGTATAAGGCATTAAAGCACAGCTCTGTGAAGCTATCTGCAGCCACTGCAACAAGAGTTCAATCCCCGGCCAGGGAGCTGACCCATATGGCGCGGCCTGACCCATATGGCGCGGCAGACTTTTCTTCTGTCACCTGTTGCTCCCTTCAGCAGTGTATTTCAGTAATTTGCCTGTTCTGCTCTCCACTCTGGTGAATCCTCTCACCGCCCCCACACCTTTGGCCTGCACCCCAGCTCTTGTGTGCATAAATAAATCATATTAAAAAAAAAAAAGTAACTCTTCCACATCTCGGGCCCTCACTGGTGGCGCAGCGGGTTAACGCACAGCACTGAGAATCTTAAAGCCGCTTCCACATGAGTTCGATCCCCGCCTGCCCCGGAGGTGACCACATGGCATGGCAGACCTCTCCTGACCCGCCCACTGCTCCCCTCGGCAGTGTACTTCGTTGATCTGCCTGTTCTGCTCCCCACTCTGTCTCTGGTGAAGCCTCTCACCGCCCCTGAGCCTCTGGCCTGTACCCCAGTTCTGTATGTACAAATAAATAAATCTTTGAAAAAAAAAAAAAAAAGTAACTCTTCCACATCTTCTTAGGACCTAAGTCCTGTGTCCTCCAGGGCCCTCAGTGTTCCGGCTCCTCTCCCTCTGCCCCACTTCCCACCCTCACCTACTAGCAAATCACCTTTATCTACATTCCCCTCTTGCCTGCCTTTAAGGTGTTTGGTTCAGCTGGCATCTTTTTCCTGTCATCACTTGGACTCTACACAGCACTTTTGACAGGGTTGACTAAATATTATCCACGTTTGTTTACTGAATTGTTAACCCCCCCCCCCCACCCCCGGGGTAGATTTCAAATCCACTAGTCTGGTCCTGTTATCTCTATGCCTGGTATTTCCCTGGCTCACAGGTGCTCAACACAAAGCCAACAGAGCCATATTTAAAAGTCACTTCATAGACTCGTGCCCTTTCTTTATCCAACAAAACTTTACCTTTAAACATCATGTGACCTGGTCTAATTGATGCCTACAGGTGGATGGGACCCTATTGGTTCAGATTAGAAGAAACTTAAATGTTGCCTCTCATCACCTTTGTGTATGAACTAAATAAAGAACAAACTGACTGACAAGAATTGCCTCATCCACGCCTCCAGAGATGAGTGGAACACAGGGATTAAAGAAAATGCGTATTTCCACTGCATTTATTACTAATATAAAAAATGTTAAAAAGAAAAAAAAAATCATTCTCAGTTCTCCAACAGCTCTCATCCCTCCCTCCTGCCCATACAACTCCTGACCCGTTTTTCAGGGCCAGTTCAAAACTGAACCTGTTCACTGCCGTTTTCACAGAAAACAACCAGTGCCAGGGGCGCGGGGATAGAAGGCCGGACAAGGCGACAGTACTGTCCAGGTTCCACCCGAGTAAGCCAGGTGGAGATTCACAGAATTCCAACAAAAGGGCTGGTGGCCTCACAATGACACTGTCTAACTAAAATGGGCCAGAAGGGGTGGCCTCAGCGCACACCTCAGGGGCTTGTGTCAGACCCAGAAAAATTGACACTGGGAGAATGGGGAAGACTGGAGGTATGGTAGGGGGGTGGTCCTGGGAAAGTGCGGTCCTGGGAAAGTCTGAAACTCTCCCATGTTGGGAGGTAGGGAAAGTCTAGAGGGCACCAAGAGCCTCACTCATTTTGGCAGAAAAACTACTCTAGTGTTGGAAGTCACAAAAATGCCACAGACACTGAGAAAGACGAGGGGACGCACAGTTTCACAAAGCACAGTGATCACAGACCATAGCGGTGGGGGTCATGCCACGGACGCAGAAACTACAGAACCCAAAAGCAGGGCAGAGCGGCCTTTTAGGGAGTCACTCTGCACCAGGCATCCAAACGTGACCCAGGGAGACAACCTGGTGAGTTTCACAAGCAGCCGACAACATCAGGGGTGGGGAGTATCACGTAAAAAGGACTTAAAACAAGCAGCCGGAGAAGGGAATGGTAGGCAACTGCTCCGGGGCTCTCAGGAATCGAGGGTGATACTGGGGCCGGGCGAACAGATGCGCAAGAAACAGCACCAAAGAGGTTTCCTGCTCAGCAGTCACTTGGTGAGGGGGCGAGGATCCAGGAGGCAGTTGAAGGGTGCAAAGATGGGGTCCCCCTGGCAAGTCTCTGGAGGCTGGATCAGAAGAGCGTACACCGCGCAGCAGTTATGAAACACAACTCTGGACCCCAAATAAGGAGATGGTGGATGGGGGTAGGCGTCACTGACTGAGGATGGTGGGTGAAACAGCCTCACAGTAGCCATCACAGGGCCACAGGGAAACATGGTCGCCAGGTCAAAGAGGGCTCCTTCCAGCCTGGACAGGAAGGCAGTCTCACAGCGGAGGCCCGTTGACGCCTGGGTGGTAGAAGGCACAGAGGTCCTCATATCGACAGTGGCCTTTTGTGGCAAAGTGTCGGCAGACAGGACGGCCAGATTTGTCTGTGAGCAAGAAAATAACATAGTTTAAAATCTGAATAAGGAAGGGGCCTCCCTGGTGGCGCAATGGGTTAAAATACAACATTACTAGCACCAGCAGCCTCAACACGAGTGCGATCCCCAGCCAGGGAGGTAACAACATGGCACAGAAGACCTCTCCTGCCTCGCCCCTGATCCCCTCAGCAGTGTGTTTCAGTCCATCTGCCTGTTCTGCTCCCCACTCAGTCTCTGGTGAGTCCTCTTACTGCTCCTGCACCTTGTGCTCATTCCCCACTCTATGCATAAATAAAATAAATCTCTAAACAGAAAACAGAGGTAGAGTGACTGATCAAATTTCCTACCTTACCATTTTCAGATATTTTGGAATGGGAGCCATTCTCTTGGGAGGAAAAACATTTAGGGCTATCCCTACTTCAAAAACAGAGGTTAAGAGTCATGGGAATTCTAGAAATTAGGTCACCCCGGGGGTGATAGGTATTAAACATGTACAAGCATTAAAAAACAGACCTCACCTTCCATAATCTGGGGTCCGTCCTTGGGTGGGCAGGTATTCTTGATAAGAGACCAGCTTTTGAGTCTTCGAGGATTTCTCTGCTCTTTGTGAAAGCCTCCCCTGGAGGGACCTCCGTGGCCTGGTCCAGGAAAAGGAGGTTCAGCATTGACCCCCCACCAACCACGACCATATGGGCCAGACCTGGGACCTAGGCCTCCCCGAATTGGGCCTCTGCCCCGGGGAGGAGGTGGGAGACTCAGCAGGGCTGGGATCATTGGTCCCCTTGATTCTGGAGGACCTCTGTGATGTGCTGCAGACGGACAGAGAAAGACATGGAAAGGTGCTCAATGGCCAGCTTAACCCCGACAAAGCAGCCATGAGTTAAAAAAAAGAACAAAAAAACAACTTTTATTGAAGTAGAATATACACACACAAAAAGACACCACAAATGTACTTAAAGTGCACAACTCAGTTATCACCACAAAGTAAGCACCCGCAGTTCTACTAACTAGGTGAAGGGATTGTCTCATGAACACTTCAGAAGTACCCCCTTGTAGCCCACCTCTCTGGAATACCACTCTCCTCCCCAAAGGTAACTACTATCCTGACTTTCAACACCACAGATTAGTTTTTGCCTGTTTTTTTGATCTTGGCATAAATGGAATCATCCTGTATTCTTTTGTGTCTTGCTCCGTTTGCTCAATACCATGTTTGTGAGTTCAATGCCTGTAGCAGTTCATTCATTTTCAGTGCATGTAGTATTCCATTGCATGCACACACAGCAACTTATTTATTCATTCTACTGATGGTGGACATGTGAGTAGTTTCCAGTTTGGAGTTATAACAAAAAATGCTGCTATGAACATTTTTTATATGTGTTTTTGTCACACATAGGTACACAACTCTGTTGAGCATATACAAATTAGAGATACTGCTGGGTCCTAGAGTATATATATGCTTGAGTTTAATAGAGGTTGTTAAGGCCCTCCCTGATGGAGCAACAGGTTAAAGGGCAGCACAATGAAGCTATCCACAGCCACTGCAGCACGAGTTCAATTGCTGGCCAGGAGGGTGACCCACACGGTGCGGCAGATCTCTCCTGACCTATCCACTGCTCCCCTAAGCAGTGTTTCAGTACATCTGCCTATTCTGCTACCTACTGTTGCTGGTGGGACCTCACTGCCCCCACACCTCTGTACCCCAGTTCTTTATGTATTAAAAAAAATTATATATTAAAAAAAAATCTTTAAAAAAATAGAGGTCATAAAACTTTTCTTTTTCAAAGTGATTGTACTATTTATACTCTCACCCATAGTTGTTCCTTGACATTTGGTATTGTCAATCGTTTTCACTTTTGCCATTCTGGTGAATGTGCAAGTGGGGTGTGTGTGTTTTCATTGTGGTAAGATATATAACACAAAATTTGCAATCTATTTTATAATTGTCTATTCTTCAAGCATGTTAATTCACACCATGGTGGAAAAGGATCTCCAGAACTTTTTCATGTTGCAAAATGGAACACTATGGCCAGTAAAAACCAGCTCTTCTTTCCCCCACCTTCAGTCCCTGCCAACCACTGTTCTGCTTTGTTGCTATGAACTTGTCTACTTTGGATACTGGATGGAAGCGGAATCACGCATTATTATTATTTTTTTTTTCTGTGACTGACTTATTTACCATGAAAATAAAGGCTAATTCACATTGCAGGATATGATGGATTTTCTTCCTTTGAGGACTGAATACTCTAATCTACAATATCACAATGGATTTATCCATCCATCCATGAACACTTGTATTGTGTCTGCTTTTGTCTTGTATCAAAAGTTACTAGCATTGCCGGCTATCTTTAGGATCCTGCTTTCCATTCCTTTGGATAAATATCCAGAAGTGAGACTGCTGGATCATTTGGTTATTTTTACTTTTCTGAGTGGTCATCATACTGTTTTCTACCTTTGATATGCTATTTTACAATAACACTAACAGTGTCAAAGGGTATCGTTTTCAAAGTGGCGTGGTTTTGCATTTACTTGATGACTATTGATGTTGAATGTTTATTCACCTATTTTTAGCCATTTAGATCTTACGTGTTTTGGCTGTTGTTTTTTAGCCCATTTTTCTAGCCATTTGTCTAGACGTTTCTTATACATTCTAGATTTAAACTGGTTGTATTTGCTACAGTACCTTTTATTCAAAGGCTTCCTATGAATTTTGGAAGTGTCATATGACTAACATATTTATATTTTCTAGTCAGTTCACTCTGCCAAGTCTCCTTTATGGTAGCTGTGTGTGTGTGTGCGCACGCGCATGTTTGCTATCTGTGTAGGAACTCCGTTTTAAGATGATGAAGTACGTATTCTTTAGAAATATTTCTTTACTGTTTATGCTTGAGATTTACAACAAGATCCATTGTTTGGAATTGATGGTTGCATATAGTATGAAAAAGACCATTTTCTTCCTTTTGTTTTTCCTTTCTGATGAACATCCAGTTAATCCAGTATAGAAATACTGAAGTGACTACTATTTCAGTCCTGCCTACATCACACATGAAGTGTCCACACATGCGCAGACCTGTTGCTGGACACTACATTTATTCTATTGATCTATATGCCTATCATTGCAATAACACCACACAGTCATACTACCGTAGCTTTGAGTCTTTATATTCACACTAAGCCTTCTCACTTCAAGATTCTTTACAACCTTTCACGCTGATCCTTTGTTTTTCCATATAATAATGCAGATGCTTATTTCCACAAAGACATTATAGATATTCTAACTGGGAGTGCAGTGAATCTATAGATAACTCACATTCTTACAACAATGAGTTTTCCAATCCATTAATACAATCTTTTTCATTCATTCATTCATTCAGTCAGACTCCTTGATCTTCTGATTTTTAAATCCTTCCTGCACTTTACTCCCTCCCTTGATTCCTTCACCAGAACTTAATCAAAGATCAGGGACCCCTCCTCCTCACCTGACTTGGGGTCACCAGGTTTTCCATTGGCCATGGGGGGAGGGCCCAAGAGGCTGGGTGGTCCTAAGAGCAGACATGAAAATAAGGTCATCAATATATACCTAAAGGGTTGATGATCCTGTTCTTACATGTCCTAATATTTCTATAATCAGTAATGGCAAGGTTAATTCTCAGCAATGTTAGTAGTCTTCACCCCCACATCTGACTTTTCTATGCAAAGCATTTTCAGAGTTTGCAAAAAATAGAGACTCTGTCAAGGAGGTTGATTTGGGAAAAATACTGACAGCTTTCTCTATTTCCTTTACATTTTGCTATACAAACCATATTTGGTAATTCCAGAGAGTCCCACTCTACCTGCTGGAAAATCAAATAGCTCTCTCCCCAACACCCAGTTCCGAGTGATTTAGAGAAGGCTGTACTTCCCACCTCCCATGTGAGTCTGGTCACACATTGTCATCCCAGTAACCGCAATCTGCAAGCTAAGGGCCACTCGTCCCTGACGTTCTGCGGCTGCGCACACGAGCTCTTTTATCCTTTCTTCTCTTTCCTTCTCTAGAAAGGCTTAGGGGCCGGATTGAAGTTAAGGGTTCAAATAAGAGGTCTCCTAGTTCAGAGGGCTCCTTCCCGGACTGGCACCCACTAATCCCCAACGCATGCGCCTTCCCTTCTTCCGTCAGAGACCCCTCCCCCGCATCTTTCAGCCCCCTAACCCCTTGCCCAGACCTGCTGACAGACATGTGCACACCCCTCCCGGGCTCCTTACCGATGGGGCTCCCGTCCTCCTCGTCTCCAGTGTCTTCCCTTTCTGGCAGTGCGAGCTGCTGTTGCGGCAGCTGCTGCTGCTGATTCTGCTTCTTTCGTTTCGGCATCGTGGTTGCGGCAATGGCTGCAGCGGGATTTGGAGGGCAGTGAGGAAGGGGCACACTGGGATTCTGTTTCCGTTTCCGGGGGGGCGATGGGCAGTGAGACTGGGGCTCCCGCCATTTAACTTCCGGAAGGCTGCGGAGCCTTTGTGCAGCAGATTCTTACCTAAATTGCGTCTCTGGGTCTCGGCCAGACATGGCGGCCATCTCCAGCACTCCTTTTGCTGTACTTATGTAAATTCTTTCAAAACTTCTCCTCTTGTCTTGCGCCGAAACACCTACAGCCGGCTCCTCACGGTGTCATAGAGTCCACAGGCTCTGAGGCCAGAAGGCCTGAGAAGAGAGAGGGCCGTCGCGTCCTAAGATCGCCACATCCGGTCCCCGGTTACTATGGTAACAGCTGCACGCACAACTTCGTGCCCTCTGACCTCCCTCGAAAAGTCTGATCTCACCTGGGTTTCTTTTATCGCCGGCGCTAGCACTTATGATCTGTAAACCTGCTCCTTATCGCAGTTCCTACAAGGACTTTGGGTCGCAGCGAGGCGGCGCCCCGCACTTTTCGGGCCGCCTCCCGCCCCTCCAAACCTCGACTCTGCCCCCAGCGGAGCCCAGCAACTTGGCTTCACTCCCGGGCCGCGTAGTCTGAGCCTCCACTGAGGCCGCGCCGGGAGCGAGAGGCGGCCCCCGCGCGTCCACGCCCCTCTCCGCGGCGGCGGCCCGCCCCGCGCCCCCGCCTCTCCAGGTGAGTGGTGGCATCTGCCCGGCGCGCCGGGGCGTGATGACACGCGGCCCCCCTCCTTCCAGCGCGAGTTGGTAGCGCCCGTGACGAAGCGAGCCCGGTCCTCCCACGCGCGCCTCCTCCAGCGCCGCCGCTGCCTCCTCTCCATGCCGCTGGCTCTCACGTGAGGGTAGCCCACCCCGCATCCTCCCCGCGTCGTGCCCCGGGAGGGAAGGGGCCGCGTTGGCCCCCCGCCGCCGGCGCCGAGTCGCCCGCTGACGTCATCCGGAGCCCCGCCCCCTCAGGGTCCCAGGCCCCTGCGGCGGGGGCCGCCGGGGGAGTCAGTTGAGGCGGCGGGAGCTCCGCGGAGGGCGGGCCAGGTGACTGGTCCGGGCCATGCCGAGGAAGAAGCCCTTCAGCGTGAAGCAGAAGAAGAAGCAGTTGCAGGACAAGCGAGAGCGGAAGCGAGGTCAGTGCGGGAGCCAGGGGAGGGGGCGGGGCTCGGGCTCCCGCACATCTGGGAGGAGGGGTGTGCCCGCCACACCTGGGGTCTTGGGAGGGCCGGTGGCCGCGCGCCGACGCGTGCGGTGGCCGCGGAGGGGATTCCCTCAGCCCCCCAGCTCCCCTACATCTGGAAGGGGTGAAGGATGGAGAGTTGGGGGAGGGGAATTTCTCCAGCGGGGCGCCGTCCCGGCAGATTCCTGGAGGAGAAGTGATTTCCCCCACGCACATCCGGGAGGGTCCTGGGCTGGGTGACTGGGAAGACCCGACCTCAACATAAGTGGGGAGGAGTGAGGGGGACCCAGGCCTACCGGGGAAGGGGGTCTTCTGTCCCGGAGAGTCGGCCAACCCTGGCGTCACCGGCTCCTCCCCGCAGGTCTTCAAGATGGGCTGCGATCCAGTTCCAACAGCCGCAGCGGGAGCCGGGAGCGGCGGGAGGAGCAGACCGACACCTCAGATGGGGAGTCTGTGACCCATCACATCCGCAGGCTCAACCAGCAGCCTGCCCAGGGTCTGGGCCCGCGAGGCTATGACCCGAATCGGTGAGGGCGGGCGCGGGGCGCTGGCCAGGGCTCCCCGCCCACCCGGAAGTCCCAGCTTGGGGGGCCAGCCGGAGGCTGCCCTGGAGCCGCTGCTGGGGTGGAGGGGCTGGATGCCCCCTTTCTCGGGGTCGCCGGCTCCCAGCAGCGGGACTCAGCCTCCCTTGGATGGGCTAGCGAGGGTTTAGCTTTGAGAGCCTGAGAGCCGTGGGGCTGAGGGAAAGAAGAATGCTGTGTGAAGGAGGACGGAGAGTGCCATCGTAGAGGGAAGACTTGAACTCTGGAGAGAAAGCTCTACAAACTTGTCTGGCTATAGGGGAGTGTGCAGCTACATATTGTGATGGACGCTGTCCCCGCCCTGTTAGATACCGACTGCATTTTGAGCGAGACAGCCGGGAAGAGGTGGAGAGGAGAAAGCGAGCTGCCCGGGAGCAAGTGCTCCAGCCGGTCAGTGCTGAGGTGCTGGAGCTGGACATCCGGGAGGTCTATCAGCCTGGTTCAAGTGAGTGGGAGCCCATGTGGGGATGTTTGGGGCAGCCAGTGGGGGAGTTTGGAAAAATAGAAACTTACCATGAGGAAGGAGGGGTCTGGGAGGCACCTTTGAATGCTGAAACTATGCTCAGACTTGGTACTTTCCTTGATGTTCCAGTCCTGGACTTTCCCCGCCGTCCTCCTTGGAGCTATGAGATGTCCAAGGAGCAACTAATGAGCCAGGAAGAGCGGAGCTTCCAGGAGTATCTTGGGAAGATTCATGGGGCTTATGCCTCGGAGAAACTCAGCTACTTTGAGCACAATCTAGAGGTGAGAATGGAGTAGGCGTAGAAGTAGGCGCAATGAGCCACTTGGATGTAGGCCTCAGGCAGGAGAGGAACTCTGGGCTCAGGTTCTCTTTTGCTGATTTTGTTTTTTTAGACGTGGAGGCAGCTGTGGCGGGTGTTAGAGATGTCTGACATTGTCCTGCTTGTCACTGATATCCGACATCCAGTGAGTACTGAGCGTGAAGGCAGACAAGGGGTAGGAAGGAAGAAGATTCTTGGGAAGAGGGAGGAAGAGTAAAGGGCAGGGGCAGGAGTGGGAGATCAGAGGTGTCCTTGCTCCTTTCCCAACTTCTCTGCCATGTTAACCTGTGGTCAGATGCCCAGCACTTTGCACTGGGCCAGCTAACTCTCCTGTCTTTTACTTTAGCGACAAACTGCATATCCTATTCCCCAACCCACCTGAGCTAGACAGAAGCAAAACCTCAGTGCGGTGCTCCAGGGGACTCTGAAGGCAGCTAGGGCTTCCTCCTGCCCGCCACATCAGTGACCATGGGCTCAACCTCACCTGGAACGCTAGGGTTAAGGCTCGAGACTGTTGCTGGACAGTCCTGTGTAAGCCTGGCTCTGTACTTCACTGCTGTCCTCTGGTGGCGGAAAGGGAGGTCTGTAGGAACATTGAGGTCAGGCGTCCTTCATGACACACACATTCGTATTCCTATACACAGTCTCACAAACACGTGCACCTGTGCCTTCACACACTACGTAGAGACATGTTCATGATGCAGGCACACATAGGCTGGGGCACACGTGAAAATGCTAGGTTATTAATTTCTGTCCCAATTGTCTCCCTGTGCATGGCCCAGCCTTTGTTCTAGGGTGCTCGTTTTGTTGTCGTGTTGTTTTTTTTTTTAAGATTTATTTATTTATCCATGCAGAACTGGGGCACAGGCCATAGGTACAGGGGTGGTGAGAGGATTCACCAGAGACAGAGACAGAGTGGGGAGCAGAACAGGCAGATCGACGAAGTATACTGCTGAGGGGAGCAGCGGGTGGGTCAGGAGAGGTCTGCCGCGCCATGTGGTCACCTCTGGGGCAGGCAGGGATTGAACTCATGCAAAAGTGACTTTAGCTTCTCAGTGCTGTGCTTTAACCTGCTGCGCCACCAGGGAGGGCCCTTGTTGTCTTGTTTGGGGGGCCTGTAGGAAGTCCCCCAGAGACAAATGTGCAGATGTTCCTTACCTCTTGCTTTGTGTTCCTAGTTCACTTTGGCCAATTTACCCTTTTATCCCAGAATCTAATACCATCAGGGTGTTGTCTCAGGCCGTGTTGATGACTGGGGAACCGGAAGCAAAGCACTCTGGGTTGACCTGCCATTGCTCCTTCTCCTTACCAACCCCCTCCAGGTTGTGAACTTTCCACCAGCACTTTACGAGTATGTGACCGGAGAACTTGGCCTGGCCCTGGTGCTGGTCCTGAATAAGGTGGATCTGGCCCCACCGGCTCTTGTGGTTGCCTGGAAGCATTACTTCCACCAACATTATCCCCAGCTCCACATCGTCCTTTTCACCTCCTTCCCGAGGGACCCCCGCGCCCCACAGGATTCTAGCAGTGAGTGAGCAAGAGGGCTGCCTGATGGGAGAGGTGGGTTGGCAGAAGACAAAGGAAGAACAGAAAAACTTAACAGGGGAGTATACCTGAAATTGGGCTGAAAAGTGTTGAGGAGATGGGGTGCATGAAACCCTGTGTCCTCTGATTTCAGTTTTGAAGAAGAGTCGGAGGCGGGGGAGAGGTTGGACTCGAGCCCTGGGGCCGGAGCAGTTGCTGAGAGCCTGTGAAGCCATCACTGCGGGGAAGGGTATGTGCCCCTCAGAAGGGCTGTGGGGAGTCACAGAGGTCAGGCCCGGAGTCATTCTGCTCACCTTCCTGAAGTCAAGCCCTCCATTGGGGACATTATGGCAGGAGGCCAGAGGGAGGGTGGAAGAGGGTACAGACTGACTTGGAGGGACAAGAGAGGCAGCAGGAAGGCAGGAGCCCCAGGTGTTTGCTGCTTCAGGCCTCCCAGTACTTTTCAAAAACTCAGAGACGTGTGTGATTCCAGGATGGGGTCACGTGAAGGCTGGGGTGGTTAGGTTAGCATGATGCCACTCTAGATGGTGCAGATGAGGTCTGGGCCATCATCGTTGGGCCCTGTGGAGAACTTTCTTCATCTTTTCCTTCCTGAGTAGTGGACTTGAGCAGCTGGCGGGAGAAGATCGCCCGGGATGTGGCTGGGGCCACCTGGGGTAATGGCTCCGGGGAGGAAGATGAGGAGGAGGATGGGCCGGCGGTTCTGGTGGAGCAGCAGACTGACTCGGCAATGGAGCCCACTGGCCCGACTCGGGAGCGCTACAAGGACGGGGTGGTGACCATCGGCTGTGTGGGTAAGGAAGCGGTGGCCACGTGTGGTGGCCTCTGAGGTGTGGGGCATCCGCGTTTGGAAGAGGCAGCTTGGTCAAGGTCTCTGAGAGCTGTCTGCTGTAGGGACCCAGTTAAAGGCTGCCTTTTCGCAGATGATTTTGATCTGGACCAAATGTTACCATGCTGAGTCTTAGTTACTTTGATTTAAAACCTGAGGATATTGCTAACCTAATGAAAAGAACAGAAGTGAAGTATGGAGAGCCCAGCAGACCTGACCACTTGTGATGGTGATGATAATGGTGGTTGTTTAAAAACTTCAACACTTGTATGTTAATGTGTTCTAGACCCTGTTGGAGTGATTTATGTTGCATTAAGTGTTTCAGCTGCAGTCATTGGTCCATAGCAGTGGAGTGATCACTATATCCTAGTAGAGGCTTAGCTAGTATTGAGGTCCTTCTGTAGCTCACCCTGTCAGGCCTGTTGTCAGTGAGTATCTTTCTTTAAGAGCTTTGTCTCTGTTCACAGTGGGGGAATGTGGGATTAGGGCCCAGGACCCCTTTTCCTCTTCGGTGGGATGAGTGAGAGTGACTTTTACAGAGTTGTTTCTGAGGTGGTAGAACCAGAAAGGGCCAAAGCCAGAAGAAATTATTAGGGAGGGCAGCCTAGCAGGGCTCACAGAGAAGCTCTTGATTTACCTTTCAGTCTCTTTTTTGTCTTGCAATAATTCTGCATGCCTACTGACACATTGCTCTCTTTTTCTGTCATCTCGCTTCGCTCTCCCTCCCAGAGCCCCTTTTCCCTCTCCCTGGCCTTTGCACTAAGTTGTATTCAGGGTGCTGGGGCAAGGGAGCTGTTCTGTGGCACAGGCAGGGAGTGTGGTTTCCCCTAGCTCAGTCATCTGTCCTCTCAGTGCCCAGCCCAGGTGGCGCTCTAGGATGGGACATGCAGGTGTGGAAATGACAGGCAAGGCCTGACCCTCACGGGATTTGTTTTCTTGTGAGTAAATTGATTCATGATCTGAGACATATTATTTAGGGACCATGAAAGAGGATAGACAGAGACCGAGAGAGGAGGGGCCCGCAGGACAGGCTCCTGAGATGAGCTCAGAATGGTGAGACACAGTGACCAAGTACAGATGTGGGGCCAGGGCTCCCTGGTCAAGAGGGCAGATATGAGAGGGTCTCGAGGTAGGAACGAACATAGTGATGGGACAGGGCAGAGTGCTGGGGAGGTCGTGGTGTGGGAACCAGGAAAGAGAATTGTGAATGTGGTCAGGCCTTGTGTAAGGCCTGTGGGCAGGAGAAGGCATTTGGGGTAGGTTTATTCTGTGTCTCGAGTGGGGTAGTAAATGATAGGGGTTGGCAAGAAGTAAGCAGCGAGCACAGTGGCAGCTTCCAGTCTACAGGAGCGATATGAGCTGCGCAGAGCAGAGCAGAAGAGGTGGAGGCAGTGAGCGACGGTCAGAAACTATGAATTTTGGAAGTAGAGAAAATGGGACTGCTCATGGGTTATGCTCGAGGAAAGACAGGCAACTGGGAATGCTGAGACAGGAAGACTGGAAGGGGAGCAGGTTGGGAGGGGATGGTGGGTGTGGATCAGAAATTAAATTTGAAATTCCTTTTCAAAATATCCCAGGGGCCTCCCTGGTGGTCTAAAGGTTGTATTAGTGCCGTCACCACTAGGGCCTGAGTTTGATCCCCGGCCAGGGAACTGACCCACATGGTGCAGTAGGCCTCTCCTGTCCTGCCTGCTGCTCCCCTCACAGTGTATTTCAGTAAATCCGCCTTTTAAGAATATTTTTTTATTCATGCATACAAGGTCTGAGGTGCAGACCAGAGGTGTGGGGGGTGAGAGGATCCAGCAGAGACAGAGTGGGGAGTAGAACAGGTAGATGTACTGAAAATACACTGCTGAGGGGAGCAGTGGGAGAGACAGAAGAGGTCTGCTGCACCATGTGGGTCAGCTCCCTGGCCAGGGATTGAACTCATGTTGCACTGGGTGTAGATAGCTTCAGAGTGCTGTACTTTAACCCATTGCACCACCAGAGAGAGCCCCAAAATAAATATATATATATATATTTAAATAAAATATCCCAAGTGGAATTGTGGTCTAGGAGTGTAGAGCTTAGGGAGAAGAACTAGAGATTAAAAAAAAATAATAATATAATATTTTATTTTTACATCATTTTGTGCCTTTTTCCATCTCAGTTGTAATCCCCTTGGGCTTCCCATCACCATTTCACCCATGTGCCATCACCTTTCCCCCACTGTTTTTGATCCGATTCCGCACTCCACCCCCACAAAATGTCTGATATATAGCTGTTCATTATTATTATTATTGTTATTGTTATTATTATTATTATTATTATTATTATTATTATTATTTTTTGCCTGGTCTGTTATACTCCTGCTATGAGTGAAACCATTCAGTATTTTTCCTTTTCTTTCTGGCTTATTTCACTAAGCATGATCTTCTCCAGCTCCATCCATGTTGCTGCAAAAGGCATGAGTTTATTTATTTATTTATTTGTTTTGGTTGCAGAACGATATTCCATTGTGTATATGCACCACATCTTTTTAATCCAGTCATCCACTTTTGGGCATTTGGGCTGTTTCCATGTCTTTCCAATTGTAAATAAAGCAGCAGTAAACATGGGGGTGCAGGTGTCTTTTTGAGTCAGTGTTTTTGTGTCTTTTGGGTAGATACCTAGGAGTGGGATTGCTGGGTCATATGGAAGCTCCATGTTTAGCAGTTTGAGGAACCTCTAAACAGTTTTCCATAGTGGTTGTACTAGAACTAGAGATTTAACCTTGGGAGAGGTTTAATTTGGGGAGCCATTGATGTATTTAAAGCTGTGGAATTGGACGAGTTGTGGGAGAGGAGTGGGATGGAGAAGAAGACACCAGGCTGACATAAGGAGATTGGGTAGGAGAAGGAAACACAGAGAATAACCCTGAAGTCAAAGGAAAAGAGGAGGGAATGAATGCGGTGAGGAGAGGAAAGGAGGGCACATCTCCCCAAATGTTGCTGATGGACGGTGAGATGCGACCAGAGACTCGCTCAGCAGGCTTGGCACCATGAAGACCAGCAGTTGGGGGGTGGGGTGGGGTGGGGGTAGGGGTGGAGAAGAGAAAGCCAGATGGGGTAGACTGACATGAGCATGGGCCACAGCCTGGTGGGACGTCACGTGACACCCTCAGAGAAAGGGGCTGCGTGCACCAGCGTGTGCACCACACTGTTCCATTTGTGTAACGCTCGGAAGGTGCAGAACTGAACCATGGCGCTGGGCTACCTAGGCCGGAAACTGAAGGGAAACACGAGTCACTGCGTGTGAGGGAGAGTGTCATGATCAAGGGACAGCTGGGGCTTCTGCAGAAGCGCAACATATCCTGGGCCCAGGGTGGATGGCTGGGTTCATTGGCACATTTATGTTTTACATATATTTGATTATGTTGCACTTTATAGTCTCAAAGAAGATGGCCTGACAACGTGGTGACAGAAAGACCAGTCTTTTTTTTTTTTTTTTTAATTACAAAGTTTATTTTTACATCATTTTGCACATTTTTTTTTTCCATCTCGATTGTAATCCCCACGGGTTTCCCATCACCAAATCACCCCTGTGCCACCACCATAGACCCGTGCATTTCCCTCCCTTCCCCCCCACGCCCCCGTTTTTGATCCCATTCCCCACTCCGCCCCCACAGAATGTCTCTGGTATATGGTTGTTCATTATTTTTGTTATTTTCTCGCCTGGTCCATTATACTCCTGCTATGAGTGAAACCATCCGGTATTTTTCTTTCTCTTTCTGGCTTATCTCACTAAGCATGATCTTTTCCAGCTCCATCCAAGTTGCTGCAAAGACATGTGTTTCTCTTTTTTGGTTGCTGAGTAATATTCCATTGTATATATATACCACATCTTTCTAATCCAGTCATCTACTTTTGGGCATTTGGGCTGCTTCCATGTTTTTCCAATTGTAAATAAAGCAGCAATAAACATGGGGGTACAAGTATCTTTTTCAATCAGTGTTTTTGTGTCTTTTGGGTAGATACCTAGGAGTGGGATTGCTGGGTCATAGGGAAGCTCCATGTTTAGCAGTTTGAGGAACCTCCAAACAGTTTTCCATAGTGGTTGTACTAGTTTGCATTCCCACCAGCAGTGCAGGAGAGTTCCTTTTTCTCCACATCCTCGCCAACAATTGTTGTTGCTAGTTGAAGATGTGCCATTCTCACTAGACCAGTCTTTTTATTTGAGGAGTTTCACTGTAAATGGGGCCAGAGACCGAGGGGAGGGCCAGTTCTCCTCAGCATTTTTTTGTAGTAACCAGAGTATTGCTGGCACATTCTTCATCTTTCCCTGGAGTGGGCAGCCGTGGTAGGGTGGAGGAAACAGCCTTCGGCAGAGGTCTTGATGCCAAGGCCCACATGCTGAGCAGGCGTGCGGGTGCGAGAGGTCAGAATGATGGTGGTGGTATTGAACCCCCAGAGTGTCTCACTGGCCCTGGGCATGGGTTTGCGGAGGCTGTGTGGGTTTCTCATTTACTCCTGACAGCTGTGAAGCTGCAAATGAGGAAAGGGCTGGAGAGTTAAGTGAATTGTCTTGAGGGCAGAGTGGAGAGACTAGGATTCACTCCGCAGAGTGGAGAGACTAGGATTCACTCCACCCTGGCAGTCCAGAGCCTGATTTGTTGTTTGCAATGTCAAACTACTTCCTTTAGTTTCTGCCTCATTTCCTCTTTCAACCACTGCTATTTTTCCTCTTTCACCTCATTTCAGCACTATGTCTTGCCTGTCATAGAATAAGAGTCTGTCAAAAATGTGTTTTCCTTGCCTTCCTCAGGTTTTCCCAATGTGGGGAAGTCCTCGCTGATCAACGGACTGGTGGGGCGGAAGGTAGTGAGTGTTTCCAGAACTCCAGGCCACACCCGATACTTTCAGACCTACTTCCTCACACCCTCCGTGAAGCTCTGTGACTGCCCGGGCCTCATATTCCCCTCCCTCCTGCCCAGGCAGTTGCAGGTATGAGGGCAGAGAGAGGGGGTGGCGGGTAGAGAAGGAGGCGGGAGGAAGATGCTGAGCATGCTTGTTTCCCTCAGGTCCTGGCAGGGATCTACCCCATCGCCCAAATCCAAGAGCCGTACACTGCCGTGGGCTACTTGGCCTCCAGGATCCCTGTGCAGGTCCTGCTCCACCTGCGTCACCCAGAGGCCGAGGACCCCTCGGCGGAGCACCCCTGGTGTGCCTGGGATATCTGTGAAGGTGGGCTCCACGTGCCAGGCTTCTCCCCTCACCCCTTATCCTCCTCAGGAACTGCTTTGTCTCCTCTCCTCCTCAGAGTGTCTGCCTTGGGTGAAGCCCCCCTAGATTTTTGTCACCAGGCCAGGAAGATCTGGCCTACGATGTTCTGGGAAGAACCAAAGGACTGTGTTGGGGGCGTAGGGTGATAGTGACTGGGCCTGGCTTCCCTCCCCGTTCTCTCCTTCTGCAGCCTGGGCAGAGAAACGTGGTTACAAGACAGCCAAGGCGGCGCGGAATGACGTGTACAGAGCAGCCAACAGCCTCCTGCGTCTGGCGCTGGATGGCCGCCTCAGCCTGTGTTTTCAACCCCCGGGCTACAACGAACAGAAAGGTCAGGCCGCCGTGTTCTTCCCCAGCCCCTGCTGTGATTTGGGCACACACAGACACTGGCTTTGTTGCCACTCAGAGCAAGGGGCAAACCTGGCTCTGTACCTGTTGGCCAACTCTGTCACCGAGCATCTCTCAGACGGTTTCCTGGTCTGCAAACGCAGGTGCCAGTTGCCCACTGGTGAGCCAAGGTGTGCAGAGCTTCTGTTTGGTGCCCAGCACATGGGGGCACAGAAGACTGAATGAATGGGGGAATGAGCAAATGAATGCAGTAGCTCTAAAAATTCTGTTCACCTTTGTCTTTGCCTCACCCCCTTTTCTGGCTTTGTCATTAGCTCCTTGCTTAAACTCTCCTCTACTCTCTTGTTCGCTCCCCAGGCACCTGGGAGTCCCATCCGGAGACCACGGAGCTGGTGGTTTTGCAGGGCAGAGTGGGGCCTTCGGGTGATGAGGAGGAGGAGGAAGAGGAAGAGCTGAGCAGCTCCTGCGAGGAGGAGGGAGAGGAGGATCGGGATGCAGATGAGGAGGGAGAAGGGGATGAGGACACCCCAACCTCAGCCCCGGGGTCCGGCCTGGCCGCCCGAAACCCTTTTGCTCTGCTGGGCGAGGACGAGTGCTGAGTGCCTGCCTTGCGCCATCTTCCCCTTCCACTGTCTTTGCTTTTGGACTGACCTGGGCACCTCCCTCTGCTGCCCCGATTGTGAATAAAGATTGTCTGCTTTGTAGCCCCTTCCCCAGATGGGCTGAGAGACAGCGGCCAGCAGCCGACAGTGTGGAGGCTTCTCTCCTGTTTCCCTGCAGCTGCTTTGCCAGGAAGTTCTTTGTGGAGTAAATGCAGTGGGCTCTGTGGCCCGCCCCCTTGTCCCCTCCCACTGGCACCCTCGGAGTCCATAGCCCTGGGGAGGGGACCTGTTGGCTTCTGCAGCCTTGGTCTACACCTATCCCCTCTGTGTCATCCCTTCGGGCTGGGCAGCCTGTGCGCCCCCTGCTGCCAGACCCAGGTTATACCAGTAGCTTCTGGAGAAGAAGCAGTAAGAAAGTTACAGGTTGATGTCTCCAAGTGAGATGTTTAGAGGATTTATTTAAATTCAACAAATATTTCTTGTGGGTCTCTTGTGTGCCTGGATCCGTGCTAAGCACTGAGCATACAAAGATGTGCGAACAGGGCCTGATGTGAATTTGCATCCTGGCCATGGTCAGACCCTGAACTCAGGCACCCAGGTTTTGGGATTAAGACGGGTGTGTAATGTTCTCCAAATATTTGGGGCCCATACAATATAATTCTAGAACTTCCTGTTGATGGGAATATTTAGTTAAGACTAAATGCTTGTAAAAATTATTAAATGTGTACGAGTAGAGTCTTAATTACTACAGTCAACTAGCGTGCACATTGATGGTTGGAACAGAGCACGCTAGGTACACGGTTAAGTGCTTATTTAAAAGCCCATGCTCACTAAGGGGGTGAGACGCAAAGGGGAGGCAGAGAACCAGCTCCTGTGGCCATGTGTCCTGGTTTGGGAGCCACAGTGACCCCCCGGTGTCATGTGCTTTTCAGCTAGATCAGTTTTTTTATTTATTTATTTATTTTTGACTTGTATTGTGTAGAAGAACTGAGGTGTTGGCTAGAGGTGGAGGGGGTGAGAGGATTCAGCAAAGACAGTGGGGCTCAGAAACGGCAGATTTACTGAAATACGCTGCTGAGGGGAGCAGCAGGCAGGACAGAAGAGGGCTGCTGCGCCATGGGGGTCACCTCCCTGGCTGGGGATGGGACTCAGGCTGTAGTGGTAATAGTGCTGAGACTTAACCCCTAGGCCACCAGGGAGGCCCCAGCAGTCAGCTTTCTACCGAGTTGTGTATTTTGCTGTATTTCTCTCTCGACAAGCACTCAGCTGCATCCAAGATTTAATTCTTGGAGAAAAGGGAAAATGCACATTATCAGCTGCCACCGGCTGGACTGGATTAGGTGGCTTCAAAAAGCACTGGACAGGTTGACCATTAGGTGTGGGGTGAGGAGAAGAAGGAGCACTAAATTCTTTCACACTATGGCATCCCGTTCAGGTTCTGGGTCACTGGGAGGTGTCTGACACCAGTGGAGACACTGTCAACCTAGGAACAAGAACAGATGTTTGGGTCACATGTAGCCTGAAGCTGTGCCCTCCAGGTCTCAGTGGGGACACGTCTTGCAGCTTTCAAAGCCTAAATACTCAGTGTAAGAGAAAAGAGTTCCAGTCGAGAGTAAAACCCACCGTGTGTCTCCCATCTTGGGCTTTGCCTCATGCTGGGATCATTTTCTCTTAGAGATCCTGATATTCAGGGTACTCAGGGGATTTCTCTGCTGCTGGAGGTGGGGTGGGGATGTCGGGATCATCATGAAAGTAGAAAAAAGGGAGAGAAACAATGAGAATTCTGTTGTTCCCTGCCTCCTCTCTGTTGCTTCTTTTCATTTCATCTTTTGTTAACCGAATTTCACCAGACATACAGGAGAGTCGGGTGTGTGCGTGTGTGAAGAGTTATGGAGTTAGTGTGAAGCTGAAGAGGTGGAATTTTAATTCTGAAGTCTTGGAAGGAACAAGTCTAACATCCCCTGGGGCTGGACTGTGAACAATTTTTTACAGGCCCCTGTTAGTGGCTCGCTCACATTGCAGGAAAGTAATGCTAGACAAAACTATTTCAGCAAAAAACAGGTCCAGAGGGGAGGGATAAATAACACCCCAATGCCAGCATACTTGAGACTGATCTTGAAACTAAGGTTCAAAGGGATCCAGGGTTCAGTCTCACACTGAATGCCCAGGACCCCAATCTCATGCATCATTTGGGTCAGGCCTGCAATGGGGATACTTTACCTGGAGAGCTGGGGCTCTGACACTTTCCACACTTGACCAGTTTTTTTTTTTTAAGATTTATTTTACTTATGCATACAAGAGCTGGGATGTAGGCCAGTGGTGTGGGGGTGAGAGGATTCACCAGAGACAGTGGGGGAGCCAAATACGAGGATCTACTGAAATACACTGCTGAGGGGAGCAGTGGGTGAAAGGAGAGGTCTCCTGGGCCATGTGGGTCAGCTCCCTGGCCAGGGATCGAACTCAGGCCATGGAGCTCAGCCTGCAGTGGTAGGCAATAGCTTGATACGCTGAGACTTTAATCCCTGAGCCATCAGGGAGGTCCCCTTCTGACCAGTTTCCTGATGGTGAGAAGCCAGTGCTGCTCCCATTTATGCTGGCATTCCAGGTAGGCATCAAACAACTTTCTTCTAAGCTCCCCGTTATCCAGACAGTACTGCTTCTAGGATAAGGTAATAGTGTGTGATGCAGGGAATTCAATAATCGGCCTCTTAATTTCTTGTGATTTTAGATATATTCAAAAAATAGTGGAAAACTGTATGCTGGACATATTCTGGGACAAAAAAATTGAATAAGACATAGATCCTATCCTCAAGGCATAGCATTCCTTGACACTGATATAGTCAGCGCAGAGCACTCTAAGTCATAAAATAAGTTATGTGTATCGATTGGACTCTGAATGAAGGTAGAACTAAAATCACCCAAGGATTCAGATATGCACCCAATATTTGTTGAATTACTGCCTACTGGCTGCTACTAAGTGGTGAATGATAAAAGAAATGGTCCTTTGTGGAGCTTAAGATTTATAGGGGAATGGGATTACTTAACCAACATGAAACGGGTGATGAGTGAGCGCAGTGAGAAAGGTGGTGTAGAGTCCCATGCGGTAGTAGTAGCCTTTGGGAGAGGAGGATCCTGGGATCCTCTCAGGAAGGAGTGGAGGACAGGCCTGGGGCTGTGTTCGCATAGCAAGTCAAATAAGGCATAGGGCAAATCAGAAGTCTGGTGAAGAATTGCCATGGGGACACCCCACATGCAGCAGCTAAACCCATCTCAGTGAATCAAGGGTAATCTTTTTTTTAAAGATTATTTGTGCACACAGAACTGGGGTATAGGCCAGAGGCACAGGGGTGGTGAGAGGATTCAGCAGAGACAGAGTGGGGAGCAGAACAGGCAGATTGGCAAAATACACTGCTGAGGGGAGCAGCCGGCGGGTCAGGAAAGATCTGACTTGCCATGTGGATCACCTCCGGGGCAAGCAGGGATCGAACTCATGCTGAAGTGGCGTTAGCTTCTTAGTGCTGTGCTTTAACCCGCTGCGCCACGAGGGAGGGCCCAAAGGTAGTCTCTTAAGACAGGTCGAAGCCTGGAGGCAGGAGTTAGCCAGGTGTTGAGAAGACCATTCCAGAGGGTCAGCAAATATCAAGGAGACAGACATGACAGCCTTGGGAGACCAGTTAGCATGGCTGGGCACAGGATGCAAGGGAGAGGACGGGAGGTGAAGCTGGAGAGGTAGTTGGCCAGTGGTGCTTTATCGAAAAGAACGCTAAAGAACTTGAAGCTGAAGACTAAGGAGAGTTTTGTGCCACTTTGGTTGCAGTACTGAGTCTGTCAAGGGGAGATCTGAAGCTTTTGCAGCCTTCCCAGTGGAAGAAAATGAAAACCACAATTAAGGGAGCAGCAGATGAAAAGAAGAGAGATCGTTTTATGTGGTGCTTAGGAGCATACATAGAGTTGACACATCTTAGGGTGTGTGGGGGGAGGCAGAGGGAGAGAGGGACAAGTCAAGAGTGGATCCCTCGTTTCTGACTTGGCGTCAGGGAGCCATTTCCTGAGGCAGTTTAGGCAAGTGGAGCTTGGGGAAGAGAAGTCATGGCTGCAGATGGATTCTGGCAACAGTGACCTAATGGTGGGGGCAAAAAGGTGGTCACAGAAAGTGTGGAGCATGAGGAGACAGGGATGAGGAAGAAAATTATAGAGTCAAAGGAAAGGGCAGGGCAAGAGGACATAGGATAAAAACTAAGGAAATGTCGTGGGATTAAAGGCCAGGGAAGGGCCTCCCTGGTGGTGCAAGGGGTTAAGTGTCAGCACTAATGCCACTAATGCCAGCCTTCTAATGCCACTGCGGCACCAGCTCTATCAGAGCCAGGGAGCTGACCCACCTGGCGCAGCAGACCTCCCTGCTCACCCGCTGCTCCCTCAGCAGTGTACTTCAGGAGATCTGCCTGTTCTGCTCCCCATTACTGTCTCTGGTGAATCCTCTCACCGCCCACACCCCACTTCCTATACATCTGGCCTGTACCTCAGTTCTTCATGTATAAATAAATCTTAAAAAAAAAAAAAAGCCCAGGAAGAAGGAAGGGTGAGGGGCAGGATGCTCCAAGCCACGACGTGAAGAATGAGTGTTAACTGGATTTGGCAGCAGGAGTCTTGGTGATCTTGGAGGCAGTTCCACTGGACAGGTGAGTCAGAGGCCGCTCATGTCAGGGATGGAGGAATAATTTGGAAAGGAAATGGAAGTGGTAGAGGAAAGGTCAGAGTTTCAAGAAGTTTGGTTGTTTTTGCAAGGAAAGAAAACGGAGGGAGAAGAATACATGGAATATAGGAATATAGGAACTTTTTTTTTTTTTTTTTAGGTTTGAGCATTTTAACGTGCTGTTGGGAAAAATAGATTGGAGACAGGCTGAAAGTGCAGGGACCCAGGGATGAGGCTGGAAAAGCTCTAGAGAGCATGAGGCAGCGCTACTGAGAGTCCTGGGGCAGGGCTGAGTCTACCCAGGGCCAGTGGCGGGTGGCAATGGGCGGAAACAACACTGACCATCAGCGGGTGGCCCTGACACTACGCAGTGTTTGTTAAAATACTTCAGGGGGTCTGGCAGTGGAATGAAGCTGCTGGGCTCGTCTCTCCCAGATACAAGACTTCTGTAAACAAAGCCAAGCCCCTCAGGGAGAAACTGGTAAGCATCACACAATGGGAGCACCGGTCTGGTGGGAAGTTGAGGTGAACTTTGTTTAGAGGGACCACAGCACAGTAGGATCACACGTGGGAGGAGAGACTGCTGTGCCAGGGCCTTGCAGCTGCTGATTTGGGCAGATGCCAACATGGGGGCTCCTGAGACCAGGCACTGCACTGCAACAGGGGTACACAAGCAGGCATCCAGATGGAGGTGTGCTGCTGGAGAACTGCGGTGTTGCAGTATGGAGTGAGGGCCACTGGCTGGAGTGGGGGGCTCTCAGCACACCACAGCTGTACACTGAGTCAGAGCGTGCGGATCTCCTAGAGAAGGGGCCAGGACGTGAAGCCCAGGCTGAGCTATTCAGAGCACCTGCCACTCAGGATGGCAGAACCTATTTGGAGCAGGGAGGTTTGGGGGTTCAGTTGTGCCCCTCTCCCTGCCCTATAAAACTTCCATTTTTCAGGTTTTAAGATTTGCGCTTCCTTTATCTAATTTTGCACTTTTGATGAATTTTGATGAATTTCCTTCCAAGCTATTCATGATTTAAAGACTTCTAAGTTCTTCCCTATCATTAACTTAATATTTGTAATATTTCAAAATACAGGTTTTGTTTTAAATAACCATTAGAGAATGACGTAGCCAACATCCAGGAGCTACACACTCTGTTCTATTAAACTGTAATTTTGTCAAAATTAATTGAGAACTTAATAAAAGCAAAGCATGACAGCTATAATTGAAACTGCTGGAGTACTCAACTGCAACTGTCCTGTATCTAAAAATAACCATCATATTGTATCTGGCAGCTCTTTTTC